GCGATGATGGGGGAGCAGTCATTATCACTTCACTTTCGTTTGTCACGGTGGTGATGACATCGCTCTCAAAGGGTGACTTGAGGAGGTTGCAAAGGAGCATTGTTGAGATTGTTGAATTGGCTCACTTGTTTTCCAGTAACTTCTGTGTTCTCTTATGTGGGCCCGTCGACGAATTCATGTTCGACGGAATTAATGCCGAAATTGCACGACTTGAAAATGCATATCTGGTGTGCGCAGGGCTCCAGGCATTGCCACTTGCGAACTGTGCTAAGGAAAGCTTCCGCTCAGGAACTCAGCATTCGATCGCTAAGGCATCTTACAAGCACGAAGTCGCAGATCACGATGACTTAGAGGATATCACATCTTCACATCTTGCTAATCTTGCGAACTTTAGGAAGGTGCTTGCCTGCCCCTGTGCAGCGGCTCATCAGAGCACGCCAGAAATGATCAGTGATCCCCGAGTGCGAGCAGAAGGCGAGAACAAGCCGTCAGCGCCAGCGACGATTGCCGCATCGGGTGATTCCATCAAGCGAGAGTGGGCTCACTACCACATGTGGGCCGGTGTCTTCGGGCACGAACTCGGACTTAACCCAGACCGAGATTGGGAAGAGAGCGTGAAACAGCTCTATACAGGCGCAATCGCGCAAACCGCTTTGTCGACCTGCTTGGGAGATGTTGACCATGGCTACAAGGCCCTCCCTAAGATAGCGCAGATCAACGACGAGGGGTTGTCGCGTTTCCAGCCCGGCGATAGCCTTGGCCGCGAAAAAGCCTGTATCATCGTTTCCGACTCGACCCTGATCTTTAAAGCTGGTGCGAGGACGTTTGTGGAAATGGCTGATGACTTCAAAGCCCTCACAGGACCTGGGCACATACTTCAGCAGTACACAAATGTCCGACAGAAGGCTATTTGGGGAGGCAACCTCCACTCGATCGTCGAAGCTGTTCACACGCTCCTGCCGCAGATCATAAACGAATCTTTAAACCCCTTGCATCTGGAGGTCGATATCGTCGTGGTCTGGATGGGCAACGAACTTTGCGGTCGCAGAGGAGTTTTCGTCGACACAGGGACGCCGCACTGGCAGATCGGTCCCGAAGGGGTTGCCGCGGAAGGGATCTGGGCGGACATCGCTGCACGTGTGTGTGGCGAGATAGGCCGTCTAGCCGCCCTTCAGGGCAGGCCAACAGTGGGTTCGGTACAAATCCTCTCGGATGCCGACCCACTGGACTATGGGCTGCCTGCGGAGTATCAGCGATTCGAAAGTTCCTCGGGTACGCGAGGAGCAGAGGTTTGCACACCGCCTCGCTCAAAGAGTCGGTATGTCAGATTCCGAAACATGATCATTATCATTTTCGTGAAGACTCGACTCATCGTGCAGCCTTGGCCTCTGTGATCGGCCAGCGAATTAAAGTGTGTCAAGCAGACCACTTGTTCGCGAAGATGCCCGCAGAGACGCTGGACGAGCTGGCCCGCAGGTTTCCCTTCGACCCAGAAGGAACCCGGGTGTATTCCATGCAGTATGTCTTCGATAAGGCGCTGTATCGGTCACAGCTCTCCCGCCGCCTTTTAAGGCAGGCCGAAATTCGCGAAGCAGCAAATGAATGCCCTGATCCATGGGAATCCCCTTATGTTCCTCCGCCTGATCTTCCAGTCACTGGAATGCGCGAGGTTCCTCAGGATGTTCTGAATTGGGAATGGGCTGCTGCTCGTGAACAGGCACAAAAGCACGCGAAAGAGCAAGCAGAGGCACGTGCCCGTGCTGAGCGCAAGGATCCAGCCCCACTTAGTGGTGGCCTTTCTGGGAGCGCATCGTCTCGCGACGTACCGGAGGTGTCCTTTGACGACGTCATCGAGGCCATCCGTTATCGCACAGAGTCTCACCGGACTCTGTCAGCGGCCAAAGAGGGCATGACCAAGAAGGACCGGGATCCCTCCAGCGGCTTACTTAGAGCTCGCCCGCACGACTACATTGGGTTAAAGTACCAAGACGACTTGGACCTGATGGAGATGTGTGGCTTCGTCGATGAGGACGTGTGCCCGGAGGATCCGGAGGGGAGTGAGATCGTTCAGATCCTCCCCGATTCGATCCCAAAGGATCACCTTCCTGAGATGGGCCTCAAACCTTACATTGAGCGATATCTCACAGGTGCTGTCCGAGGGTCGAACGTGAAGTTCAGCTCACGGCGCGGGAAATGGGTACGCATACAAGAGCTCATCCAGCATATGTGGAAGAAGCACCGTGTGTATTTTGTCCTTGGTGGCCTACGACAACAAGTCGAGGTTCAATTTGGCAGGCCTCCCCACGGATCCCCGTGCTGACTACATTGAGACGGAGATTTGGCCATCTTGGATTTGCGCTTCGCATGGCCATAGCGAGCGCATCATGCAAGGACCAAGTCACCGACGCCTCCATCGCGCCGCATTGGTTTACAAATGACACGCGAGAAGAGCTGGGACCTTCAGCCGCCTATCAAGGCAGGCCATTCTTAGCTCTCGGGGAATTTCCCCTGCGTCTCTACCACAGGACGACGCACGACGCTGCCTTCAGCATCCTCAGTTCCGGCTTTACGCCAGGGTACAACAAGAGTGGCAAATTCCACAATTATTTTGCCAAGGCTACCCTCAGTGAACTGGAGAACAGAGCAGGCAGTCGCTCGAACCTGCCCTACGAGATCGTGCTCGATACACAAGAGGTCAATCGCCACGCATACCTCTTCGAGACGACCTCTGAGGGCATCCTTTTACCCGTGATGTGGTGCCGGGCACATGTGTTTTGTACATCCGCGACACCATCAAGGGCGTCATCCTATGGTCCCGCCAATCCAGCGAGGAGGAGGATGTGATAATCCCGGAGACTGCCACGGAACCCATTGTGGATCCAGGTGCAGCTGAGCCGGAACAGTTCCCCGACATTCCGGAGGAACCTACAGCCCCACTTAGTGGAGGCCAAGATGAAGCAACAACCCCGTCTGCTCCCGCAGACGAGCCTATGGTTGAAGTCGAAGTTGAGGATGAGGTTGCGCCATCAGCATCATCACCGGCACCTCTTGCACTCAACGACGCTACAGCATCCGACTTTCTTCCGGAGGAAACCACAACATTGGACCAGGGGGGCGCTTCACCACCGGAGGCACCGACTGAGTCCAGAAAGCGAGTGCGTTTCCTTGAGCCGGAGGAACCAGTCGAGATCGACATTGAGATCGAGCCAGAGGAAGGCGATGTGAAAAGGGAGGAAGAAGAGGCCAAAGTCGAGCCGATGTATGAGCAGGCACCGCCGCAACCGGAGTCGACACCATTGGCGCTTCCTCCAGCCCCCGTTACGGGTGGCCGCCACAGAGCTTGTCCCCACTGTGGGACGCAGCATCTCGTGGGACAGATGATCTGTCTCCACTGTGGCATGCACATCGTGAAGCCTTCCCAACAAAGCGCCCGCAAAAAGGTGCGAACGGCCCGATGGTTCGCCGAACAAGCTGCAGCGGCCACGGGAACCGCGATCCCAGCTCACACCTGAGGAGGTCATCCACGAGATGGCACGGGATGCTACCGCGCAACGCGGGACTACCTCCTTGGACGCAGAGGCACTCGACAAGGCACGGCAGCAATTGAAAATGGCGGTGAAAGGAGGATACAGCAGTATCGTCAACCGGTTCGACAATGACGTCGATTACACGATGAGTTCCATCGGCAATGGGTTCGACCGGGAGTTTCTCGCCATTGAGGATGTCCTCACGCATGCTGCTTTGCCTAACCACGGTCGTTCCAAGGAGCAGAGACAGCTCGCCATCGGCACCTATGGCGGCGCAGACGGCCCTCGGAACCAGGAGATTGCCAGGTTGCTCTACCTGCATGAGTGCAATCCAGCCGCCCTTATAGGGCAGGCCTGATCTCCGCCGTCAGTGACGATCCATTTTGCATCATGTGGCTTGGAGGGGCATACAGTCTGCGTAAGTTCGTAAATGTTTTCCTTCAGCACAAAATTGTGCGAATGATCGTGACCTTCTCTGAGGAGGCACTCTACATTGACCCACGTCTCGGATATTCCGCTGACGAATGGGTCGAGTGGCTTCAGCAGAAGTTTGCGGGTCAGGTCGGAGTTGCACGTCGTGCATACGAAGAGCGCCAACGCAACGCTGAACGCTCTCGCATTGCTCAGGCCAAGGCTGATGCACGCAGAGCGGAGCAACAGCGCTATCAGCAGGATTGGGACCAAGGCTATCAAAGCGGGTCCCACCCCTATGGTCGCTCCTCCGGTTCCCGAGGATGGTACTAAGTACCTGATCGACATTTCGTGGTTCCGACACGTTAACCGGTACTCCGAAATACAGCCCCTCTTAGAGGTGGCCGAATTTCCCTAAGACCAGAAAAATTTCATGCTTCATTTCCTGGCAGTCACTTTGTGACAAATCCGAACAGCCAGCAGCTCCATTGGATGATGTATTCGTCCCATGCTGCACACGTTCTTGCGACTTGTATCCACGCCATCAATCAAGGCTTGCTGGATCGTCGCCACTTTATAATGCATGTCGCGACTTTATACTGCGCGCTAAAAGAATTAATCTGCTTCCGTATCTTCCGCTTTACGGTAGTAGAAAGTCTATGAGCCCCGAGCCACAATCCAGCCGCCTTTACGGCAGGCCGCACAGCACCAAGCTTCCGTGCATGTTTCGGCGAGGGGGGTGTAATTTGTGCACGTGTGAAGTAGCATGTTGTGTGGTGACATTTTGGCTCAAGTGCTCTGGCAGTAAAAAGGTGTAGTTACCGAATGGTACAAGCCGTGCTGTTATCACTTGGACGGGTATATACAACAGTGCGTGTGTGCAGTGGTTTACAACAACTATATCTTTATCATAGTTGGGTATCATTTTACATTTTTATGGTTACTTAAACCCAGTAAGGAGCAACAATTTAGATTTTGAATCCTATCCCAACCATGAAGTAGTCTTGATTCAAGTTCTTATTAGCGGCATGTAGCTCCGCGAGCAGCTTCTTGAGAAGCCAGGTGGCTAACCACCCGAAGAAGCTCATGACCTTCTACGCTACGGCAGTGCTTGTTGCGACCTGAGGCATAATCCTACGGGTCCATATGCCGATATAGTATGTACCGAGGCCTCGAAAGCCACCCTTTCGTGGAACACAGCAGGGCAAGCTGACAGAGCACAAGCACGAACATGCGTCTTTGCTCAAGCTGTTGGTGTCATGTTTACTGTACCAGTATACTGTAGCAGACTTTACCCCTAAACCCTATTCTAAACCCTATTCTGATTTTTGAGGCCCCCATATTAGATCCAAGGTCCCCCCAACAAGCCTCGACCCGAGAGCCTTCACCCTAGAATTGTTTTCATTGCTGCAGGGTGGTCCATGAGCGCATTGGAAGCTTGCAAAGCAGCGAACCCCGTAGCCACAAGCAACTCAAACCATAAGACAATACCTGGACTCACAAATCACCCAAAGGCTACAACACACCCTCAAGCTCTCGCTTCTCCCATGAGCCCTTAGGTACCCTTGGCCATCTTCATTGTGCTGCGGGGCTTTGCTCTGGAGTCGGACTTTAGCGCCGGGACCCCTGATGGAGTTATAAGGTTTCAGGGTCTATGGTTTGGGGTGACGTCTGAGGGCTGGAGGCTTTGCCCCAATCACATAGCCTACAGTGTTGAGTTCCTAGTCCTCATGATTTCTTCCTTCCAGAAGTCCTGAAAAAGGTAGGTCATGCAGGGTCCAGGTCGGCTCTACGAATGAAGGATGTATGAGTGGGGTTTATTTACAGAGTGGGTCTTGGGGATTTGGGTCTCTAAAACCTCAACCCTGAACTTTAAACCTCAACCCTGAACGGATGTGGGGATCACAGATCAGTAAGTGCGGCGCAACCGACGCCATCGGTACAGAAAAAGCCCCTAAACATCGCAAAGCCAAAGCGCTTCGAGAGTGTGCAGGGCTTATTTTTTATCGCTTAGGGGCAGCTCTTGGTGATGTGCTCGTCACAGGCGCTGTAATGGTTCAAGGCGAACCGGACCTAACAATCAGGTTACTCCACAAGCTATTTTTAACTTGCAGTAAACACAAGCACCCGGCCATTGGTTATTGCGACGCCAAAACCTTAACCAGTCCCACACTTTAACATCCGCATGTTACCGCCGATGATGACCAGCTTGCGATGCCTCGAACTGTTGAGGATGCATATGGTTTGAAGGGCTTGTAAGATTCATCGGGATGATCGGGTCTATAGGACTGAAGACTCTAGGGCTTTAGGGCAACAAAAACAGCAGTTTGGAGTTTAGGGCAGCAGAGCCGATAGTTGCAACAAGTGACTTTTTTGCTCTGTCAGTCGCCACCTGCTCGGTTACTTGGAGGGAACAACACATGCATTCCAGACTAGCGAAGGCGGGAACAATATAGAAGCCTGAATGATTATCTATTTGACTCCTTTCGGTTCCTCATTATGCCTGTACTATAGTATGCCCCAAAACCATATGCAAAAAGTATGATGGCCCCTATAAAACCCGAATTCAAACGCTTGAGCCGACAGAAGCAATCTCGTAGATACTGCCACAGCCACAGAGCATAAAGAAAGACTGCTGAATATATATACACATATGATTATATATGCATCTCTTGAGCAAGCCTTCTATAGCCTGCAGAAATCTGTGAAGTTTCCACTTGCACACCCTGTAGACCCTAAACGCTGAACTGGAACCGACCGTGACCCGCCCAGTTTGATGCAACGCTTGGGCTGCCATCCTTCAAGGACGCACGCATGATTTTCTGAAGGGTTCTTGTCATGTTCTGTCGCAAAATTAGGAGGCAAGCCATTAGCTAGACCAGTGGGCTGCCGACTGCGAAGTTGCGGAAATATGGGCTCCTTATTGTATTTGAAGAGGATCTTCGTGTACACTGTGTTACAAGTATATGCGGATCCGTCGTGACTTGGGGAGATGCTCGCTGCTGTGGCAGCAGATCCAAGCCATGATTCCGCTTTGCGGCTATGCTTGGAGATGTCACCTGGGGATCTTCCCACTTTGGTGGTGACAGTGCTGTGCGGGATCAGCTGAGGAGTTTGTAGCAGGCTTCAGTGTTGCGCCGGCACAGAATCAAAGCACGACATGGAAGTGAGGATGCCGCACTTCTAGCCTGTGCACCTATAGTAATTATGGCACTTTGGCCCCCCATATCCGCCGTTGCGTCTGTGGGAAAAATTCCCACGACGACATCGGTCTCACGATCGCATAGACCTCGGAAGCTGTGGCGGTCGTCTATCCGGTCAATCACCTTAACACGAATAGTAAAGACTATAGTGTAGTGAATGTAGTGACAGTGACTCTAGATGTTTGCAAGCACGGCGGTATTTCGCAAACCAAAATGTCCTTACTTTTCTATGTTTACTGCAACCATGCCACGTTCTAGGGTTTACGGTTTGCTCAAGCTCCGCTCCAGAGCTCTTGCCGGCCTTAAGGGGGGCATCAAAGCGACAAGTGCAATTTCACGCCACGGCAAATGCGAAGCCTAGTGAGCAGGGGCGGTCCAAAGCGTAGACCCCTTGTGTAGACCTCAAGACCCTATGAACTCAAAGCTCTAAGCTGCTCTCCGATCAAGCCTTCGTGGCCGACCCAGTGCAAAAAGGGGCTGAAACCGGAAAACCCTAAACCTCAAAACCGTGTCTGCCTTGAGCGAGGGCGCGAGTCGAAGCCCCAAGACCTTCAACCCCACACCTCTAGAATACCAATCTTTCAGAAACTGCTGAAACCAACAGCCGGGACACCATCTAAAAAGGTTGAACCCCTCTAAGCAACTTTGCAAGTCCTAAACAAACCTAAACCGTTGAAGCCCTGAAGCAGCGAACGACTCCCTAAAATTCCACAGGACCCAATAGTTAGGTACTTGCGTTTGGCATGCCTGGTTTCGTCATGTTAGTATTCGTGTGTGATTATCGAGTACTTGGACTCAGACCCTTGGGAGTCTTTCGTTTAAGACAGGACAACTCCTTCCTCAACCCTAACCCCAAAACCCTGACACCCTGAGCCGCAAACCCCAACACGCCTCAGCCTCGAAACAAAAGCCCTAAACCCAAACCCCTAAGCATCTAAGGCCCTAAGCCCACACCCTGAAGGCGCTAAAGGCCCTAAAGGCCCTAAACCCGTAAACCCTATACCGGACAGGACTCTGACGACTACTTCGCTTGGCAGATTTCGGTGCCCAGCTCAGGTTTTCGGGCTTTCCGGCTTTCGGATCTTTCGGGTTTTCCAGGGTTCAGGGTTTAGGGTCTAGGGTTGTCGTCAACAGCTTTTCCTTCGAACTCTTGCCTTAAAACGGGGCTGCGAGGTCTGTAGGCGCTGCCCGGCACCTCAGTCCGTGCTGGAAAGTGTTTAGGGGTTAGGTTTTAGGGTTTAGGGTTTTGGAGCTCTGGGGCGGTAGGGTTTGGGCTCTGGAGCTTTTGTGTTCGGGCCTGCAGCGCAGAAGCATGGGCTTAGTTTAGGGGTTTCGGGTTTATGGCTGGGGGTTTACATTGCTTTTTTTGCGTTTAGGTTTTCGTCTTTGGGCTCATGCGTGGGCTTGATAGGATGTATTACTATGCATTGCTATTTTGTGTCACGGTCTTGGCTTGGAGGGGGCTAGACTTCAAGGCTCTAGGGTTTTGTTTTATTTGGGGCTTTTGCAGTGGGTTTATAGTACGCATATTATTTAGCAAATCCAGGGGTTACTGGTCGTGTGTTCATGATTGTTCTACGTTCCTACGGCCGCCTGGACCCCAGAATAAGCCCTGGTTCTTCGGACGTTAACTCTGCCAGCGTGGGCACTGGGGCTTGTCGTAAGAAAATCCCAGGAGGCGTACGGCCACAAAACCTCAATTCCTGAGGGTGTATGTGACTACATGGTACATGCTTAGGCCTGAAGCGCGTTCCTCATAGGCTATTAGTAGGGCTAAAGTACATAGGGATGGAGAATCCGATAAGCCTGGCTTAGGATTGGGCGCTCGGTGTTGGGAGCATTCTCTCTCCCCTTGAGGCATGCACCTCAAACCATAACATTAAGGCCCTCTCTCGCTCGCTCCCGCTCTCTCCGTCTCTCTGTCTGGGTTTCTTTGCAAGGTATACCGGCCTGTCAACGACGTGCCGCAGGAGGATGACAAGCCCAAATCCGCGCAAACATAGACCACAAACCCAACACCGACTTGTGAGTCATCGGGGCCAGTTAAAGAGACATTCAGAATGGACAAAATATCTGCTATACTTCATATATTATTTCATATACTAAAATTTTTCCAAGAAGATATCCGAAAGAAAGTTTTCCAGAGTGGGATGGCGCAGCCTTCGAAGCAGTTGCTTTTGTGATGTTCGGGGCCTGCATCACGAAGGCATAGTGACATAGTGGCATCATACCCGAAATTGTTCAATGTCTCGTCCAAGTATTTGGCAATGTATATATATATATATATATATATATATATATCCATGTTAAGCCCCGATCCCCGAAACCTGAAGCCGTTCTTCAATGACAGTAGGGTGAAGGCACTTTTGACTAATACAGGGGCCTTCATAGGCAGAATAGAGTCTTGGGGTGTCTTATACTATCATGATAATAAGGAACCCCCAAGGAAGTATAGGTAATTATTAACACTACGGGGCTTACCTTGGCCCAGAATCCAGGGATCTTCCTGGGCTCCAGCGTTGCCAAACTTGAGGGTTAAGGTCGGGTTTGAGGGTTTCCGGTTTCGGTTTTAGGGTCTAGGGTTTAGGGTTGAGGGTTCCTAGCTTTTTTGGTGTAGGTTCTGGGGCCACTGGTGGCGTTTAGCAGAGGGTCTTCGGCTTCTTTGCGGCTGAGGGCCATGAGGTAGTATAAAGGCCCTTAAATTGGGCATCAAAGGAGGTGCGATGTTATGAACGGCTGACATAACTCCTTAACATACCCCACATGCTCAAGGATTGTATTCTACACCCCCCCGCCCAAAGTCTTAGGCCCGTGTGCTCTGAACCGTCCACCCACCGAGCTCGCAGGACAAGGAGCGCCTTGGCTACGGGCCCTTCTCCACACTCTGGCGGCCTCACCCGGTTGATTCCAGAAACTGCTCGGCGCCTTGCTCCATTCATGGGTAGTTATAAGTGTGGTTATCAGTCCCTAATGTGGGAAAATTAGTTGCCCTACTTCTACTAAGTCCACGTCCTAAGTATCCATCAACCTCCGAGTCTCCCGAGTTCAGTACAATACTGGGTGCTGAGTCGACACTCCGAAACCCTAAACCCTGTGGACATTGTTTCCTGCCATGCGAGAGGGAAAAAGAACTCTGATGTCCGCTCGTCCATGCTAGGTAGGAGGGAAAAAGACTCTGCAATCCACAAAATTCATCGAAGCCCAAGCTCGGAACCCCTAAACACAAGAAGCCCTTCAGGATCTTTTAGGGGTTTGGGGGCTTGCCTTTTCTTTTTGTGTATGCGGTTCAGGGTTTCAGGGCATGGCGTTTACATTGGGTTGAGGCTCGGAGGTTTTGGGGCAGAGAGTGTATGTCGGGTTTGAGTTGCAGCCACTACAAGGCTAGACTCCAACGCCCAAATCTGGAAAATCCTGAAGTACTAGGCCCCAAATCGAAACCCTCAAAACTCCAGAGAGCGCTAAAGCTTCAGGCATCCACAAGCCTTTCAAGCGCTTCTTCTACCAAGCAGGGGCCCGAGAGAAGAACGACGAGTCCGACTCTTTGTGGTCGCCCCGTCAAGAGTTTGGGGCATTCCTGGACCCTATAAAGCCCACCTTTTGAGGGTTCCTTATCATATGTTTCCTTGCATGAGCCTGTAATAAGGTAGGTGATCGGGGATTGATTGAGGTAGAGTTGTAGATTACCTGTTTGGGGTTTGGGGCTGCAAATAGGCCAAACGCTCGGGGTGTTGCGTATTTCTCAGCTTCCCTTATGGTCTTGCAGCGGTGCCTGCTCGTATAGTTTTTGTTGGTTTTTGAAACTACTACCCAGAAAGCAGATAATGACCTGCCGAAGAAGGACGCCGCAGAGGGCGCTACTGAAGTTCCTAAGAGTACGGGAGGGCCAGAGCATGGGTTTGCGTAACATTGGCAGAAGTAGAGCCAAGAAAGCATGCCCAGTTCATGCTTCCAGTCGCCTAATGAGGTGTCACTAGGGCTCCACTTACCTGAAGTCCCTACATAATGGGTTACTAGCAATGTAGAAACAGCAACCCTTTATTTAGGTAGCTGGAGCTCCCGGGGTACCTTCCAAGTTTTGTGCGGGATCGCTCCAGGTTTTCACGTTGTACTTTACCTTCGTTTGACTTGAGGATGTCATCTACCACGATGAGCTCCCGCATCACAAGTTCAACTTCGGCCACCTCCAGCATCACAAGCATGACTGTCCCCTGGCCCTTTACTCTGAGGATCATACGACTTAGTAGCTAAGATTATATGTACTTGGGTCGGTGTTAGGCATGTACAAGATGATGCCAAACCCCAAATCCTAAACCCTATGGTTGGTTGATTCACCGTTCAAGAAGGTTTAGGGTTGGTGGGTTTCAGGGTTTAGTTGGAGGATCGCAGGACTTGGCAGGAAGGGTTATAGGCACCATACTTGGGTCGACAAGTGCTTATTACTCAGTGACTTTGTTTCGAATCCTATATCGTTGCGAAGTCCCATGGTCCTTTAAGGGCATGGGCCGTTTCAAAGCTGAGCTTTTGCGTTCTTGTCTTGTGTGGTGGGGCCCGTCTCAAACATCAGCAGGTCATGGAGTGTCAACTGTTGCATTTATGTCGGTTTAGAGTTTACAGTTCCAGTTTAGAGCAGCTGTACTGGGGTGTTGCAATGTGTCGGTACGATTAATATCAGTCCTATTAGCATTGATGAAACCCAACCTTCGACACTCGTTCATGCGAGCGAGGCAACTTCAGGGCCACGTCTGAGCCGAAATCAATAGCACTGTGAACCCGTCCACAGTCTAATGCCGGAGACTAGGAGCTCATGGCTTATGCTTTACCAGCTTCAGCCACACTGACGGAAGAAGGTTCCAAGGCCAGAGAACTTCCCTTGCTGCCAGTGGCCTTCATAATTAGTAAAGGGTTTTGGGGGTATGTTATACTATATATACTATCATCATAATGAGGAGCCCCAACAAGTAACAATCGTATTGGTAGCATTGTCTCAGAATTTCCAAACTATTGGGACTTCCAGCCCGCCTGGGCTCGCCTTGGCACATGTTCCCAAAGACAGTATGATGGTAGCGTACCGTAGCATGGTTTTTAGTATGAATACCGCTAGGTTATAGTATTATCGTAGATCATACTATATTGCAGCATCCTTTAATATACATATGTGTATGTATATATATATATATATATATATAATAGCAATCTCTTATATTATAGTAACCCTGATATTATAGTCACCCCTGATATTGTGGCAACCCTCATATTACCGGCAGAAAGGGAGGGAGAGGGAGAGAGAGAGAGAGCGTCCTTAACGGGGGACCTCAATTTGGAAGCAAAAGGCTTCCTCAAGGTTGCCAAGGGCCTCGACATGTGCAGTTGGTTTTTGCAGGAATCAGCTACAAACCATGTCTAGAGTGTCTGGTTTTTGCCTTCTTTGGTATATTACAGTATAGTGTAGGGCATCCCAGCTCGCGTTGTAGAGCCTGGTCTCAGGAGCTAGCACTTCTTACCCAGGATGAGCCCGGCAAGAAGGTGCGAGAGCAGAGACATGTTGACGGTGCAGCGTGTGTCCCCGATGGTGGGTTTAAGTTGGGAGCTTCAACCAAAGCGATGGCATACAAAAATGCAGACGGCTATCCCAAAGAAAGTTTTCCAGAGTGGGATGGCGCAGCCTTCGAAGCAGTTGCTTTTGTGATGTTCGGGGCCTGCATCACGAAGGCATAGTGACATAGTGGCATCATACCCTAAATTGTTCAACGTCTCGTCGAAGTATTTGGGAATGTACATCCCTGTTAAGCCCCGAGCCCCGAAACCTGAAGCCGTTCTTCAATGACAGTAGGGTGAAGGCCGAGGTAAGCCCCGTAGTGTTCATAATTACCTATACTTCCTTTGGGGTTCCTTATTACAATGATAGTGTAAGACACCCCAAGACTCTGTTCTGACTATGCAGGCCCCTGTATTATTCAAAAGTGCACAGAATTTCGATTTTAGGGTCTAGGGTTTAGGGTTTAGGGTTCCTAGTTTTTTTGGTATAGGTTCTGGGGCTAGCATTCGTAGCTTGTGGCAGAGGGTCTTCGGCTTCTTTGCGGCTGAGGGCCATGAGGTAGTATAAAGGCCCTTAAATTGGGCATCAAAGGAGGTGCGATGTTATGAACGGCTGACATAACTCCTTAACATACCCCACATGCTCAAGGATTGTATTCTACACCCCCCCGCCCAAAGTCTTAGGCCCGTGTGCTCTGAACCGTCCACCCACCGAGCTCGCAGGACAAGGAGCGCCTTGGCTACGGGCCCTTCTCCACACTCTGGCGGCCTCACCCGGTTGATTCCAGAAACTGCTCGGCGCCTTGCTCCATTCATGGGTAGTTATAAGTGTGGTTATCAGTCCCTAATGTGGGAAAATTAGTTGCCCTACTTCTACTAAGTCCACGTCCTAAGTATCCATCAACCTCCGAGTCTCCCGAGTTCAGTACAATACTGGGTGCTGAGTCGACACTCCGAAACCCTAAACCCTGTGGACATTGTTTCCTGCCATGCGAGAGGGAAAAAGAACTCTGATGTCCGCTCGTCCATGCTAGGTAGGAGGGAAAAAGACTCTGCAATCCACAAAATTCATCGAAGCCCAAGCTCGGAACCCCTAAACACAAGAAGCCCTTCAGGATCTTTTAGGGGTTTGGGGGCTTGCCTTTTCTTTTTGTGTATGCGGTTCAGGGTTTCAGGGCATGGCGTTTACATTGGGTTGAGGCTCGGAGGTTTTGGGGCAGAGAGTGTATGTCGGGTTTGAGTTGCAGCCACTACAAGGCTAGACTCCAACGCCCAAATCTGGAAAATCCTGAAGTACTAGGCCCCAAATCGAAACCCTCAAAACTCCAGAGAGCGCTAAAGCTTCAGGCATCCACAAGCCTTTCAAGCGCTTCTTCTACCAAGCAGGGGCCCGAGAGAAGAACGACGAGTCCGACTCTTTGTGGTCGCCCCGTCAAGAGTTTGGGGCATTCCTGGACCCTATAAAGCCCACCTTTTGAGGGTTCCTTATCATATGTTTCCTTGCATGAGCCTGTAATAAGGTAGGTGATCGGGGATTGATTGAGGTAGAGTTGTAGATTACCTGTTTGGGGTTTGGGGCTGCAAATAGGCCAAACGCTCGGGGTGTTGCGTATTTCTCAGCTTCCCTTATGGTCTTGCAGCGGTGCCTGCTCGTATAGTTTTTGTTGGTTTTTGAAACTACTACCCAGAAAGCAGATAATGACCTGCCGAAGAAGGACGCCGCAGAGGGCGCTACTGAAGTTCCTAAGAGTACGGGAGGGCCAGAGCATGGGTTTGCGTAACATTGGCAGAAGTAGAGCCAAGAAAGCATGCCCAGTTCATGCTTCCAGTCGCCTAATGAGGTGTCACTAGGGCTCCACTTACCTGAAGTCCCTACATAATGGGTTACTAGCAATGTAGAAACAGCAACCCTTTATTTAGGTAGCTGGAGCTCCCGGGGTACCTTCCAAGTTTTGTGCGGGATCGCTCCAGGTTTTCACGTTGTACTTTACCTTCGTTTGACTTGAGGATGTCATCTACCACGATGAGCTCCCGCATCACAAGTTCAACTTCGGCCACCTCCAGCATCACAAGCATGACTGTCCCCTGGCCCTTTACTCTGAGGATCATACGACTTAGTAGCTAAGATTATATGTACTTGGGTCGGTGTTAGGCATGTACAAGATGATGCCAAACCCCAAATCCTAAACCCTATGGTTGGTTGATTCACCGTTCAAGAAGGTTTAGGGTTGGTGGGTTTCAGGGTTTAGTTGGAGGATCGCAGGACTTGGCAGGAAGGGTTATAGGCACCATACTTGGGTCGACAAGTGCTTATTACTCAGTGACTTTGTTTCGAATCCTATATCGTTGCGAAGTCCCATGGTCCTTTAAGGGCATGGGCCGTTTCAAAGCTGAGCTTTTGCGTTCTTGTCTTGTGTGGTGGGGCCCGTCTCAAACATCAGCAGGTCATGGAGTGTCAACTGTTGCATTTATGTCGGTTTAGAGTTTACAGTTCCAGTTTAGAGCAGCTGTACTGGGGTGTTGCAATGTGTCGGTACGATTAATATCAGTCCTATTAGCATTGATGAAACCCAACCTTCGACACTCGTTCATGCGAGCGAGGCAACTTCAGGGCCACGTCTGAGCCGAAATCAATAGCACTGTGAACCCGTCCACAGTCTAATGCCGGAGACTAGGAGCTCATGGCTTATGCTTTACCAGCTTCAGCCACACTGACGGAAGAAGGTTCCAAGGCCAGAGAACTTCCCTTGCTGCCAGTGGCCTTCATAATTAGTAAAGGGTTTTGGGGGTATGTTATACTATATATACTATCATCATAATGAGGAGCCCCAACAAGTAACAATCGTATTGGTAGCATTGTCTCAGAATTTCCAAACTATTGGGACTTCCAGCCCGCCTGGGCTCGCCTTGGCACATGTTCCCAAAGACAGTATGATGGTAGCGTACCGTAGCATGGTTTTTAGTATGAATACCGCTAGGTTATAGTATTATCGTAGATCATACTATATTGCAGCATCCTTTAATATACATATGTGTATGTATATATATATATATATATATATAGCAATCTCTTATATTATAGTAACCCTGATATTATAGTCACCCCTGATATTGTGGCAACCCTCATATTACCGGCAGAAAGGGAGGGAGAGGGAGAGAGAGAGAGAGCGTCCTTAACGGGGGACCTCAATTTGGAAGCAAAAGGCTTCCTCAAGGTTGCCAAGGGCCTCGACATGTGCAGTTGGTTTTTGCAGGACTCAGCTACAAACCATGTCTAGAGTGTCTGGTTTTTGCCTTCTTTGGTATATTACAGTATAGTGTAGGGCATCCCAGCTCGCGTTGTAGAGCCTGGTCTCAGGAGCTAGCACTTCTTACCCAGGATGAGCCCGGCAAGAAGGTGCGAGAGCAGAGACATGTTGACGGTGCAGCGTGTGTCCCCGATGGTGGGTTTAAGTTGGGAGCTTCAACCAAAGCGATGGCATACAAAAATGCAGACGGCTATCCCAAAGAAAGTTTTCCAGAGTGGGATGGCGCAGCCTTCGAAGCAGTTGCTTTTGTGATGTTCGGGGCCTGCATCACGAAGGCATAGTGACATAGTGGCATCATACCCTAAATTGTTCAACGTCTCGTCGAAGTATTTGGGAATGTACATCCCTGTTAAGCCCCGAGCCCCGAAACCTGAAGCCGTTCTTCAATGACAGTAGGGTGAAGGCCGAGGTAAGCCCCGTAGTGTTCATAATTACCTATACTTCCTTTGGGGTTCCTTATTACAATGATAGTGTAAGACACCCCAAGACTCTGTTCTGACTATGCAGGCCCCTGTATTATTCAAAAGTGCACAGAATTTCGATTTTAGGGTCTAGGGTTTAGGGTTTAGGGTTCCTAGTTTTTTTGGTATAGGTTCTGGGGCTAGCATTCGTAGCTTGTGGCAGAGGGTCTTCGGCTTCTTTGCGGCTTAGGGCCATGAGGTAGCATAAAGGCCCCTATATTGAGCATCAAAGGAGGTGCGATGTTATGAACGGCTGACATAACTCCTTAACATACCCCACATGCTCAAGGATTGTATTCTACACCCCGCCCAGAGTCTTAGGCCCGTGTGCTCTGAACCGTCCACCCACCGAGCTCGCAGGACAAGGAGCGCGTTGGCTACGGGCCCTTCTCGACACTCTGGCGGCCTCACCCGGTTGATTCCAGAAACTGCTCGGCGCCTTGCTCCATTCATGGGTAGTTATAAGTGTGGTTATCAGTCCCTAATGTGGGAAAATTAGTTGCCCTACTTCTACTAAGTCCACGTCCTAAGTATCCATCAACCTCCGAGTCTCCCGAGTTCAGTACAATACTGGGTGCTGAGTCGACACTCCGAAACCCTAAACCCTGTGGACATTGTTTCCTGCCATGCGAGAGGGAAAAAGAACTCTGATGTCCGCTCGTCCATGCTAGGTAGGAGGGAAAAAGACTCTGCAATCCACAAAATTCATCGAAGCCCAAGCTCGGAAGCCCTAAACACAGAAAGCCCTTCAGGATCTTTCAGGGGTTTGGGGGCTTGCCTTTGCGGTTCAGGGTTTCAGGGCATGGCGTTTACATTAAGTTGAGGCTTTAGGTTTTGGGGCAGAGGGTGTATGTCGGGTTTGAGTTTCAGGCCCCGAGTCCAAAAAGCCAAGGAGTATGCTGACTTGGACTACGAGCTCGTCCTCGAAAACCTCTCATCGTGCAGCCTTCTGGGGGATCAGCCCAGCGACTGCCAGGCCCGAGCCGCACTGCAGCGGATGGCACTTACCCTCGGGATTTAGGGTATAGGGCTTGGGCTTACTTTAGGGCGCCCACGAAGCCGGTACTACACCACCAAAACCTTCTACATATCAATGAGAAACGACTTTGTTGTGAAGAAGCCCGGTCAGCCCCTTGTAGAGACCCGACGAGCAGATGCAGGTGGGCACCTGCTTACTGGTACTGGCGACGGCCTTTTGCGTGGGGGTCCTGCGCCGCCCTTACGCAGGGCTCTCCTACCCGGGGTTTGGGGTTTGCAGGAGTGGGCCTCATTCGGGATGCAATTGCCCGGGCCGCTTGGACAGTGATTCCATTTCTACAAGGTTGTTATTCGGATTTTGGGGGTTTGGGTTTTGAACTCAAAGCTGAGGCGTGAGGGGTTTGGATGCCGTGGGTTTCGGGTCCGGAGGGGGTAGGATGCATGGCCTGAGGGCTTGATGGAAAACAGTTACCTTTGCACGGCTCCTTTTCCCCTATTTCCAACTGTTGCATCCATGGATATTCTGTGTGCTTCAAGGTTGTGGGCATTCGGTGACACCAACACTCCGGCCAGCGGTTCAGCTCTTTAAGATTTCGGGTTACGACACCCTGTATTGCCTCCGAACCCCAAACCTTGCAAGCCATGTTTGTTTGGGGGTTCCTTATTATAGTTATGGCAGAACGGGCCCCAAAACCCTATTAAAATTATTAATCAAGGCTCCTATATTATACGCCCCATCTTCAGGTTCTTCGTTCTCAACTTGAAGGAATCTGACCAGCGAGTGGTCCGCATTGAGGAGCCCCTACCGACGGGTTCTAAAAGGGCTTAGGGTCTAGTTTGTTTTGGCTTTAGGGCTGTAGGGATGTCGGCTTTGCGGGTTTCTGGCTCTAAGCTATTACAAGCCCTAAACCCCTATATAGCCTAGGACCTTACAGGTTGGGGCTTTAGGTTTGGAGGGAGTAGGATCTGGCTTTCTTCTGGTTAGCTGCAAGAGCTCCAACTTTGCGGATTCCTATATACTGGTGACGTCAGCCATGGTAGCGTGTGGGGTGGTTTTTTCCATGGCTTCTGAATTTGCAATATTCGCATTACTTTGTTGCACGATTTCTACGTGAGAAGGCTAGGAACAAACATGCTGCCGGTGCTCGGTGGATGATGTTCAGTTCTTCTATCAGTGCATTCGCCATGGGCCATTACAGGTGCACGTTGTTGTTGTTGTCGTTGTTGTTGTTGTGGTTGCTGCTGAGTGCATTGCTAATCATGACCACCATGACTGTAACTATTGCTTCACTACCTTTTGTGCACGCCTGCTCTGGCGGTGGCGACGAGTACTGTCGCTGGTACTAGCTCCAAAACTATCAAAAGGCCCATAAAACCCGGTGGTGGTATTTTTTGCTTGTTTTTGCGTTTGGTTTCTTATTTTTCCCGGCCGCGTCCCAAAATCCCTGCGGCCCTGTTGCTCCCCGAACGAAAGATTTCCATAGTCTCCTTAGGAAATATTTGTGTTTTGCTCATATAGAACCCACCCAACACAAGAGACTTTTAACACCATCATTTTTAGGTTCCGAGGGGGGGGTGTAGATTTCCACCTAAACCCTAAACCGAACGATTTGCAGGAAGAACCCGGCGACATCCTGGAGGCCGTTTCGGTCAGCATTCGTTTTTTTGACGTGTTTTGGGACCCCAAAAGCGTAGTAGCATTAGCGTAAGCATGTTACAGGGACATCCCTACCTTATTAGCAATTGGGCTTCTCTGTCAGGGGATTGACATGGGATAGCATCAACACTAGCAACACGAACAACACAGCTCGGCAAGGTGGCGAACGGGCACCCCGAGAAGGAGGGCGAGGCTGTGGGCTGAAGCTAATTGAAGTATGATGGGCCCCAAAACCCTATTCCAATTATTACGGCCCCTTTATTAGGGGCTTCGATAACCTGTAAAGGATCTGACGAGCAGGGTTCTATACTGTCAGGTCTAAGGTTTCGGGTTGGTATAGGGGCCTGGTTAATTACCAATCCGCTCGCAGAGGGTTCCGAATCGTATTTATACTACAATATACTGTGACCGAAGCCCCATTCTAATTATTCAGGCTCCTATATAATCATATGTATATATACATATATATATATATACACATACAAATATATATATATATATATATATATATTATATTGTATTATATTATATTATATTATATTATATTATGTTATATTACATTATATTATATTATATTATATTATATTATATTATTATATTATTATATTATTATATTATATATATATATATCATATAATATATATATATATATATATATATATATATATATATTGTATTATATTATATTATGTTTTATTGTATTCTATTCTATTCTATTCTATTATACTATATTATATTCTATTCTACTATATTAGATTAGATTAGATTATATTATATTATATATGGTAGCGTTTCTGATATTCTGTTAAGATATTGCAAGGGCAGGGTCCAGTAGGGTTTATGATGGTCTGACAAGGGCCATGTACGGGTTTGCGTGATTAAGGAGTTAAGTATGAAGTGTTCAGGATTCATGTTTGGATTTTGGCAGTTAAGCTTAGAAGACTTAAGGTTCAGGGGCTGAGGGCTGCAGCTTTACGGGCTTATCAGGGCTAGGGCTTAATGCTTCAAGGGTTCGGGGCTTCAAGCGGTTTAGGGTTTGATAGTTTAGGGTTTAGGGCCGTGTGGGGTCTTAGTTTCGGACATTGTCACGCTGCTTGCCGGATTCAGCGGGCTTAGGGTTTAGGGGTTTGGGTTTCGGGTTTAGCGTTATCGCCGCATCTTTGAGAACGACAAGCTGGGATTCCTTCCGCACTTGACTGTTCGGTCCCCCGAGCTCAAGCCAGCCCAATTATATGATGCTTTCGTGACAATAGGGTCGCATTAAGAAGTAGTGGCCTCTCTAGTGGACAAGCGGACGCTATTTTTGATTGTTCAGACCGCAATATTCGGGTCTTCGGGCCCAGAAGCCTCAGCATGTGAGTTGTTGGAGATCGTTCGAGCCTCCAGCTTAAGTGTAAGCGAAACGATGCTTTGAGTTCTGGGCTTACGGTGATTTGCTGCATTGTGGCTTGGGATGTAGGCTTTAGGGCGTAGGGTTCAGAGATCAGCTCTTGGGGTTTAGCGGTTTATCATGACGACAAGCCTGACAAGATGTTACACTTTCGGTGCTTGGTGCCGTTTTTTTTGGAGATGCTGTAGTTCCCTGAGCCTGGTAATCTGGAAATCCTCCCATCCTCAGCTCTAAGACTATAAGCACACTGAGCCCTACACCTCCTTATACAATCTTTAACCCTAAACCCTAATCCCTAAACCCGAAACCCTGAACCCTTATAGGAACCCTTATAGTCGAGCCCCTTTAGAACCCTAAGGGCCCTGCTCCTGGCCAGGATGTGGCACAGATGTCCGATGGCCCGGACCTTTGACTGACGCAGCCAGCAGTCAAGATTTATACCTATTGTGCTTAGGGCCAGGGTTTAGGTTTAGGGTTTAGGGTTGTGTAAGAAAACTTCGGTACCCAATAAACTCTATACGCCATCAGCCTATACACCTTGTGCAACCCTGCAAGCTCTATGAATGTTTCAAATGCTATCATCGCTATAAGCCCTGTGTGGGTACAGTAGCCATTATTGAGATTGGTGTTGCCCTTGAGGATTGCCGGGCTTGTGTCGGTGGTTTCAGAATCTAAGGTTCGGAACAACTAGGATACTCTTCTCAAGGTCCTCCTCGAATTGTTCAGTAGCCCTAAACCCTAGACCCAACCCCTACATTGCAGGAACTGTGGGTTCAGCTTATATGATCTTTGGAGCTCTCGCCTTGCTAGTTTGGCTGGGTTTCGCGAGTATTTGCTGACCCCCTCTTTCATAGTCTTGAAGAAGCCAAGATTCTGACTATCCCTACTGTAAACCCTATACTCGAAACCCTAAGCCCTACCCCTAAATTCGAAACCGCCCTTTCTGCAAGGGGCTTAAAATCCCGATTTCAGTAACCCTCAAACAGGTTCTGAAGCTTTTACCTATAGTCTCGTTGTAGTTCCCGTTTTGGTTGAACCATATTTGTATTGAGAATTCTACAAGGTAACTCGAAAAGGAACTACAATGGAAACTATAGGTAGCGGTTAGAGGCAGGCTTCCCCATCGCCCTTCCACGGTTTAGGGTTTTTGGAGGTTCGGGGGTTTAGGGTTCAGGGTTCCACTTAAGGGATCTATAGCGCTGCTTTGAGGGATCTATAGGGTTGAGGGTTTAGGGGTTTAGGGTTTAGCGACCTCAGCCTTGAGCCCTAAAGTTAGGTTTGGGGTTTAGGGCCTCGGCCTGACCCCAAGACCCTTTGAATCCCAAACTAGGTTGACAGGTTCAGGGTTTAATATGCAGGGATTTGTTCAAAACTCATAAACCAGGCTGGAAGCCCTCAACCATAAATCCCTGAGCCTAGGAAGCGCTGTTTTGGTTGTGGAATCCCGAACTCCTGCCGCTGCACACCCTAAACCCCTCAACCCTCAAACTCTCATGCCGGTCTTGCTCTAAAGCACCGCAAGTCCTTCATAATCGCTGAAGACTTCTCCCAACCTAAAGCCCCAAACCCTAAAGAAAGGGCTTAGGGTTTAGGGTTCGAAAGCACAAGCCCGTTAGAGGCTGGGGAGACTTCGCCCTTGACGACGAGGCTGCAGCCACGTGTCGGATCTGAGCCAAAAGCCCGAATACAGAGGCCGCAGTAACTAGTAATTAGAAGAGGGCTCATGTACGCGTCTCTCTCCAGGGTGCTATCAGGCTTCTGTGATTTGTGAGACGTCACGTAGAGGTAGGAATCATTAGTTGGGAATGGCACCCCGTTGCAGCCCCCACCCAGAATGCTTTCATTCATCGAGATCAAGGTGCCTTTGTCCCGAAGGGCTCCTGCATTCCTAAGCGTGCGGTCAAAAATACAGAGGCTCTTCCCTCTTTGGGCCAGTTTGGTACCTGTACGCACAAGAAAAAGCTGGAATCAACCAGGCTCTTGCGAACGTGTAAAGAGCTTACTGAGATAATATGATCCTTATTCCTTGTATTCCGCCTTCAAATCCGAAAGTTTTCCCTTGTGTTCAAGTAACAGTCATGAACACCAAGCCCATCCATCAACACCAAGGAAGCAGTCCCGGGCAACGTTGATCTTAGCTTAATTAAATTACAGCCCTGAACTACGGTTGATGATATCAATCCTGCATTACCTTGATGCCCTAGACTATGGGAATTATCGTATGTTCCTTGTTTTGGGTAATGCAGGATTTATATCATCAACCGTAGTACCCGAGCCTCTTCTGCTTCTGATCCCATTCTGATCGAATCCAGGCAGAGCCCGAAGTGGTCCACAAGGCCACGGTGTTCATCATCAAAGCCAGCTCGAAGCTTTAAACGTGTCCATGCGAAGATGGATTCCTGAATCGATGTTCTACCATATCCTTCTGAATGTGTTTGCAAGAGAGAGCCGTTTCCCTCTTGGAGCTGCCCGATGTGCCTGCCACCGGGGACAACCTGTTTGTTCTGTCGTGCTGGCAGTCGCTATGGGCTGACTGTTTTTCTAGCAGCAGGGCAATCGCAGGTGAGTTGTTCCTCGTGCGTTGCTGTGGGTACTTGTGTTGTGCTGCGTTTGGCTTTAACGCGTCGTTGAGGTTCTGACACGCTGCTCTCCTTTCAAGCCTTAGCTACTTAGTTTTGAGCTGACAAAGAAGGGTGATTGCGTTTGAAAGGGATACCAGTTTTCTTCGAGCAAGCCACTCTGCTTGAGCACAGGCCTTTTGTTCCGGACGGGTTGCGGATCCGTTGTTCCTCGCTCGTTTGGTTCCCAGGTTGAGATGCACCATGAAGTTCATAGTTGTTCAATGTGAAGCCCGTTCGTATTAGGCACCTGCATCTGCTCAAAATGCCACAGATAGCATTGACAGATCCCCTGATTCCATCAACAAAGGGAGCAAGGACATCCACCCAAGCAACGACATCCGCACGTACAAGCCAACAAACAGCAACCAGGATAGGTAAATGTACTTACGCGCCGCCAGACGGGCAGGTACCATCTGTTCCGGGGCCCGCGGCCACCGCTGAGGCGCACAAGTGACCCAGCTCTTTGCCGCGGTGCTCTGTTTCCCAGCACAGCTGAAGATCCCATCATCCGCTAGGAAGTTGGTGCAGATCCCTTCGCCGCCGCGGGGGCACAGTAGTTGTTTGTCTTTGCCAGCAGATTGAATCACCACTTAGTACTTAGGACCCGTGAAAAAGCATATGCTACGGAACGGTTGTGTGTGAGTTCCCGTTTGCCCAACATGTATAGTTAACTCAAGATTCCAAGCTTCGTTTCCGTGGTGTTTTAGATCTGCAGCTCGAAGTCTTCACCATGCAGGGCTGCAAGCACCGACGGTTTGAGGCTAAGTCTAGTTGATTGCTGCCAAGGAAGCAAGGAAGCAAGCAAGGAAGCAAGGAAGTGCCAAGCAAGCCAGCAAGTAAGCAAGCAAAAAAGGAAGTAAGGAAGGAATGCCGCGGTGGCAGGGCTCAGTACCCTCCCGACAGGCGCGGGGAAGCTAGGAGGTCCCCAAACCAGGAGACGGCGGAAAAAACATAAGCAAAACAACGGAAAAAATAAGCAACAAAAAGCAAGCCCGCATACAACCCTACATAGCCATTTTCGAACCCCTTGAGAATGAATAGTCCTGAAAGTAAACCTTACACCCTAAACACCCCAGACTCTAGACTCTAAGAGCCCTTTGTTCTGCGACGATCTTCCAGGACCACTTCGTCCGCTATCCAGAGCTGGAGCAGCAGAAAGGCGAAGAAGGAAAAGTCGGAGTATAGGGGCCTGTTGTTTTAAAGGTTTCTATTATAAGGGCGAGTAGAAGGGTTTGGAATAGGTGCCTTCTAAATAGAGCATGGCTGATAAGCACTGTAAGAGGGCTTTACGTGAGCTCAGACATGTTTAGTCAGGGCACCTTATGGGGTTTACAAGGGCTGGACAAAAGATTCTAAAGGCTTTGTTGAATTCGAGCAGCGAGGGTAGTGCATGAGGTTGAGGATTCAGAATTAACTTGGGGGCGATTCATGGGGGCTTCAGCGTAGCTCGTACCTGGGATTATCAAGTTTCAGCTCTTTGCTTTTTTCTCGGGATCCCATACACTGAACCACAGACCGCATATTCACTGCCAGGGGGCAGGAAGTTTCTGGGAGCGGGAGTGTAGCGAGGAGGGGGCGGACTTTCTCTGAGGTTTTGCTGTGTTCGGGTTTCCCCTCCGTGAACCTACTTTAAAGCCTTTGTTTCAGAAATACCCTTCTGCCTTTTTTCAAGCCTAATCACAGTACCGTTGCAGTGAGCCTGAGAACCATAGAAAAGCAATGACAGCGCCCTATACTCTTGCATGTACTTACATACGTATATATCTCGACCTACGTACATACATACGTACATAGTTACTTACTTACATTACATGCATACATACTTGCATACCCACTCACCCGCATACCTACAAACCTAGATTCATCCATTCGTTCATTCCTTTACATACCCAGTAAAACCTTGATAGCAGTAGATCTCTTGGTCTAACAATTCTTGACACCTCATAAAACTCTTATATACTCTGAAACCCATGCAAAACCGGGATGCAGGCCTTGAGGAGGAGGCGAGCCACCCCAGTGCTTCGCTTGTCGGCAGCAAGCAAGCTTGGAGACGCTTTACCCGGGCCCCCACAGTATGTAGAACCGTAATCGCCTTTTGTAGGTGTTGGGGCAGTATGTTCTTACCTTTTGGGGATCTAGGCCAGGTTGTCGGATATAGCGGGGAGTTAGGGTTTAGGAGCTCGGATTTCAGTGTTCAGGGTCCTGGGGATTCGGGTGTGGTTAGGTCATGACTGCTTGCTGGTGTGTGCAGGAGGGCCGCTTGCCGCTTTTAACCTGCATCGCAGTCAACCCACCCCAAGACCACCATAAGGTTCCTAGAGTCTTCTATGTTAAGCACACCTCAATTTGACATTACCGTTTGTTGTTTGTTTGTTTGTATGTCCGTATTCATGTATGTATGTCTGGATGACAGGTTTGGGTGTATGCATGTCTGCATGGATGCATGAGTGGCTGGATGGTGGATGGATAGCTGCAATGATGTATGCATCCAAGCATGAATCCATGCATGTCTGTATGTTTCCACATTTATTGCACATGTCAACGTGCATGCATTTTGTATGGAAGCAAGCAAGAAGGCATGCAGGCAAGCCAGCATGCATGCATGCATGCGTCACGCAGGAATCAATGAATGTACGCACGAATCTGTCACGCCCAAGTGTGTGTACAGGACAAACACCCATATCCTTGTATATGCTTACATAAATATGCACATACGTGTAGATACTTACAATGACCACATGTGTACATGTAAACGTTTATACAGTTTGCAGATATGCAGATCGACAGGTGTGACATGCAGATGTACGGATGTAGACAAGTGCGCGGATACATATATGCACGAGAAACCATACGTACACACACACACGCATATATATATATATGTGTATATATATATATATTCGTTTCCCCTGGTATACTATCTGTATACATGTCTGCCTATATGTATGTATGTGTGTGCATGCATGCATGCGTGGTAACGTGGTATATATATACACACACTTGATGCACTTGATTACATATATGTAGATGAAATTATGCACGTGTGTACCAGTGACACAGATAGATGCACACGCCCATACACACAGTTGCATAAGCATATACCTACATACATACATACATATATATATATACATATTTATAGATACACACACATATTATATTCTTTGTATGCGTGTGCATACACACACATTCATATGTGTACACAAAATGCAGATACATGCACTCGCTCGCATACTCCTGTAACGCCGAGGTCCAGCTCCATGCCAAGCGAAATTGACGCACCTCCGACCTTGTTCACGCGAGAGGAGCAGGAGGAGGTGCGCAATTGGGGGTCGGAGGGGGTCCTGGAGGGCAGGAGGTTTACGGGTTTCGGTGCTTAAGCCCAGACTAACAGTAAGAGACAGGAAAGAAGCAGGTTTTTGCTTGTTTTTCCTAATCCTGTTTCTCATTGAGCACAACGATTTTCGCGGCAGTGGCTCCAGGCCCAGAGCCCAATCACCTACAGACGTTAACTCGGAATTGCAATATGCTTTTGGTGCCGAGTCGTGGCAAGGAAAGCATCCAGGCTTGATTTCCTGGTTCGAGTGTTTTGTTACGGTAGGTGTTCCCCGTGTATCGACTTTGGACATTGGGGCGTAAGGTGTGGGACGAGCTAGGCTGTTCCAAACATTTCCAAACGCTGAAGCACTGTTACGCTGAAGCACGGTACGCTGAAGCACTGGTGCACGGCTTGTTCTGGGAAGGGGGAGCTGTAAGTAATAATTTGGCTCCCTTGAAAGCAGAAACCCTAGACTCTGAATCCGACGTGACAAGAAACTATTCCCGAAAAAGCATTCGCAGACAGCTAAGCCGTTTCGGGATTGCATCGTTCAGGGCTTGGAGAATGTCCGGCTTGACAACTTGCACTGGTAATCTGGGAGTCCCCCCGATAAACTGTGTCTTCTCTGCGTGGTTAAGTTTTGGTCCCGAAGCATTTGTTTCCACAGGTCGTAGACGCCGTGTACGAGGCGTACCATTGGCAGCGCCAAGCTGGCATGGCTTTATAGCTTTGGTTGAGGGTTGAGGGTTCAAATATAACTGCCGTAATAATTAGAATAGGGTTTTGGGGCCCATTATACTATCAGTATACTATGGTACCCCCAAAACCCTATTCTAATCATTAAGGCCCCTATTTTAGGGGCATAAGGTTTTGGGTGTTGGGTCTAGCTTATGGTTTCGGGGTTTAGTGGGCCCGGCCCAGCGGTTTGGTTTGAAGTATGGCCTTTTAGGGTTCAGGGTTTAGGGGTTTAGGGTCTAGGAGTTTAGGGTCTGTAGATTAATCAGCCAATGTTCCCTTTGCCCTGCCGAAATGTGTGGTATTATCCTTCCTAGCTTTCTTGATGGCAAGGAGCAGTAACCCACACCCTGAACTCAAAGCCTTGCAAGCCAGTAGCCCACCTGCACTTAAACTTGATCCCCTTTAGGCTCTTCTTGTTTTCTTTTTCGTTTTATGAGCTTAAGATGTTTATTTAGGGTTTAGGTTGCTGGGGCTTTAAGGGTTTGGGGTTTGCAGTTTTGATGGTTCGGGCTCTGGATCTTTGGGTGCTCTAAACCAATTGTTGTTCTGGTTTTGAAGCCATCAGGCTTTTGTGGCTGTAGAAGGAAGCTTGCACATACTAAACACCTAACCCCTGTAAGGTTTAAGCCTGTAGGCTTCATGCCAGGCCCTGGATTGGGATAGTTAATTAATGAGTGACGGTATTCGTTAGAGACCGGTTCGGGTTCCAGATTCTTTTTAAAAGGTGTTTAATTATGATTTGTGGGGTTTCTGTAAGCAGATCTCTCAGTTGCTGGTTTGAACGGATTTAGAGATTTAGAGGTCGGGGCTTTTGGGGCTTGGGGATTGTCGAGTCCTAGCTTTTCGGAGCTTTTTCGGGGGGAATAAAAACCCTTCGGTTTTTTTTTCTTTCTGGTTTGTGCTTAGGCAATGCTGTTTTTTGTGGTTCATTTTGTCTTTTGTTTTGCGTGCGGGCGGTGGGAGTTTCAGGGTTTTCGAGTCTGAGGTTTTGTAGAGGTTTGACCAGATACAGGCTGAAGGAAGCATTTAGGGTTGGGTGGAGGTTCGGTACTGAAATCCTTGGAGTCCTTTTTCCATCCCTTCTTAACACCCCAAAACCTCTAAGCCCTAAGCCCTTATCCGAAACTCCAAAGATCCCGGAGCCGAGGAATGACATGGCACTGCCAGATCTGCCTTTGCTTCGCCGTCTTGATTTGCCTGGCATTGCTCGCCTCGTTCACGTATCTTGGTCCCAGGTTCCCAAATCCTCACCCTAAGCCCTAAACCCAAGACCCAAAACAACCAAAGACCCTGCAACTGCGCCCAGTTCTTGCACCCCCAAAACCCCCTCAGAAACAAGCCTAACTCCTGAACCGCTTAAACGTCCAGAGCTCCACAACCCCTCAATTCAGCAGAATGTTTTCCCGAAGTTATGGCTGGATCATAAGTGCGGTTTAGGCTATATTCCTACTGTAGCGTTTAGGTTGTGAGGGCTTTAGGGATTTACGGGTTTTAGGGGTTTAGGGCTAACGGCACTCGGTTGACATATAATAATACTACTCCTAAGAATGAATTCTTGTTACGATTAACCTCTCGATTTACGATCTCCTGTTTGTTTTGTACTATTTACTGGTTGCACTGTAGGTCGGAAGAGTTTGGTCGGTCGGACTCTATCCGACTTTATACATAGCAGAGAGTTTCGGGGTGTGTGGCAGCAGTAGAACTTAAGAGGGCGATTATCACCTTCTTCAGCGTTCCTTGATGCTGGCTGCAGATGTCGCTTCCAACTCGTTCGCTATCTTAGATAGCCAATGGGAGAACTTTATAAAATTTGGACTGATAAATTTGGTCGATCTCAGAAAGTTTGAGCTTTTTTGGGCCCGGTTCTGGAACCGTTTGCTGTACCAAACTCGCTCCAGACTCTCCTGTTACGGCCCTGACCTTGCAACCTTGAAGCAGAGATTCATCGTCCCTTCTGAACAGCTGGGCATGAAGCACGCATCCCTGAGAGTAAACCCTTCAGCTAATCCCTGAACCGTAAGCCCTGAACCCCTACTCGTACACCCTAAGCCCGTCACCCGGCTAATTCAGCCCTAAACCCTAAACCCCGAATCCCAAAGACCGAAGCAGTCTGGGTTTCCCAGTTGCATCCTTTTGCTCTTTTCATGCAAGGTGCCTTCATCGAAGCCGAATAGGTGAGGGTGCCGAGGAGCCAGTCTGAAGCCTCAGCAGAGATCGAGCATGGACGAGTCTATGAGCATGTTGCGGTATGTATGAGAGAAAGGTAGGCAATGGTACTTAGCTACCTACCTTCCTAGAAACATCCATCCTTCCTTCCATCCATCCCTCCATCCGTCCATGCATCCATCTGTCCTCCCACCCGCCCCACGCCCATCCACCCATCCACCCATCCACCCACATCATGCAAGGGTCATACATACATACATACATTCATACAAGCATACATACGTGCATGCATACATGCATAGCCCATATAGATTTTAGACGATCCTTACTTGCTTCAGCTGGGTACTCACTCTTCTTCAGAGGACGAGGAGCGCACCAACCCACCGGAGGTTGTCGCGATTGACGTACGCTTTTTGGGGAGTTCGGGTGTCTTCGGTCTTGCTGTGCTACTTTTGCAATGGTTGTCATCATCGCCACGGCAGTGTTTTGCCCAGGACCCATGTTTCGGGGGTCTTTCTGCCTTCTTGGGACAGGGTGCGTGCCGGAAGTCGATTTGGGGGTTTCCGAAAACAAGGGATAAGGAGTTCGCAGCGCAAGCGGCCAGGGAAGCTTCGGTGTTTCGAAACGAGACTGTAGGACGAAAGCGGTGCGGTTAGGTTGAGGATGGTTGGGGTGCTTTATGGTTCATGGTTCCGGGTTAAGGGCCCAGTTTCGAGGAGTGAATCTTAAGGTAGCCAACAGACATGCTCCGAGTGGACAGAAGGACCAAGGTGCTTAGCCAAAAAAAAGGTACACGAAATTCGAAACTCATAGCAATGCTTTCTTAAAGTCTGATAACAGAGAGTCCATGTAGCAGCCACGGCAATTTTCGATCTAGACCATGTGTCGTAGAAGCTTCAGTGTGTGCTGCGGCCACGCCGGGAACTGTTGCAAAAGCTTCCATACAACTTTTCTTCGGCTGCTACGGGAGGGGTGACATCGAGGCTAGTCTGCCAGTCTCCGCCCTGAAACCGACAAACCTCAAAGCCAAACGGTCAGGGCTTGGCCTCCGGTGCATCTGCAACAATGAATTTGTGATTGTGATGTTGGTACTTGCGAAGGGAGGTGTCGTGTCGAGTTCTTACGGGCTTCCGGCCCCAAACCCCGCACTGTAGACCCCAACCCTGAACCGCAGTGTCCCTAAACCCTGGACCCCAACCCTAGACCCTGGACCACAAACCCTGACCACGGTTTAGGGCTTAGGTCTGGGTCGGTTGGGGTAGGGGGTTTCTGTTTGGGCCTTTTTAAATCCAGTACAGGGGCCTCAATGATTAAAAGTAGAATATGGTTTCGGAGCACATTCTGGTATGTATTTGTGTACGGACTACAGTTACAATGGACCACCATTACTAACTACTCCACCCCAAATTTCGTTTGCCCCAGTGGCTTTGATCCTTCGCTGCGTGGCCCATTTTGCCTCGACTCTTCCTCTTGGCTTCCTCACGTTTTGCATCGAAACGTCTTGCAATGGAGAGATGATGCAGCCGTATTACGGCCTTAGTTCCCGAACCCTTCACAGTTGAACCTGCGTAGGTACCAGGGGTGTATCTGAGTTGCCTAAACATCAAGAGCCAACGCAGGCCTTGAGGGTTTGGGGCCTATACTAAAGCCCATAAGCCGCCCTCTTTAATTGCCCCAAAACTCTGTAGAAAGCTGGTAACAACCTAAACCACCCCAGTACCCCTCGACGCTAGGATTACTGGAGGGACATGGCTGAAGATCAAGAGGTTCCTCCGGCGAAGCTTCACATTGCACCCTCAGTAATGCAGCCTTCAGGGGTTTAGTGTTTAGAGGCAGGGCTTAGGGTTTAGGGCTGAAGTGTTTGGGGTTTCCGTCAGTGAGGCAGCCCTAAACTTTAAACACACAGCCGAAAACCGTACATCCTTAGTCACCTCAGCATACGGGTTTTCGGCCCCAAACCCCAAGCTCTGGGCCCTACTCTAAAGACTAAACCACCAAGGCCCGGAAGCCCAAACTCCCGAACCCATACCCCAAACCTCAAGACCTCCCCCAAAAGGAAAAGAAAGTAGCCCCAAGCCCGCACAGATTCCAAAAGCTTTAAACAAGCAAGGACATGTCGAGAATGTTAAGGCATTAATTGCTGGAAAGGCTCTGCGCGTAGTTTTGGTCCAGGGTTTCCTGTGAGTGTATTTTGTACAAGAGGTAGATAGCCTGTTCACCTACTGTCGTTGTTGGCTCAAGTAAAAAGCACTTTGCTATTCTAGCTGTTCTGCCTGTAAACATAGGTTATCAGCCGTAGGTCTCACCTTTGTCGTGGTAGTAGTGGATGCTCCGGTAAATCCTGGAGGTCACCCCGCCATAGACATATCGGCGGCTCGCCCAGATACGGATGAGATCACATCACTACCTGCCATGTCCGTCCAAGACGATGGCACGGAAGCTGTCATGGTCGACCCCCGAGAGGGAGGTCAGGGCATTCCACTCACAGCAGAAGCCCTGGCCGTTATGGGCCTCAATGAACCCGGAAGAGCTGCTAGAGGCGCTGTCTCTGAATGGGCTCAGGTCACGAGCCCCAGTCATCACGCACCCTTAGCGGGATCGCCTACCCACGTATCGGCCCAATATTCCCCGGGCGAGATTCACAACATTGTCAACTACCACCAACGTAATGTGCTTGCGACAACTTTGAACCAGCAGGCTGTCGTTCAACAGAATGATAACGGACCTGCTGTTGCCGCGCATGCTGAAGCTAGACACAATTTGGATATGACTGAAGCTAATACGCAACATAGGGAGCAAGTTTATCAGCTTCAAGCATAGGCCTTTGCAAGCGCAGCACAGCTTCGACTGGAGTTTACCCAGGCGGAGAATCGTCTGCAACGTCAAGAAGAACAGATGCGCTCAGCCGGCGAAAGTCTGGTTAATCAACACAGGGACGAGGTAACACAGATGCAGAGAGAGGCGAGAGACTATCAGTTGAAGCTTCATCACGCTGAAGTGACTGCTGCCGACCTCGTCGCTAATGCCGAGCGTGAGCTTGCTGATCGTACCAAGGCAAGTCAGCTAACGGTCAATAGCATGAATGGACAGCTCAATGAGCTTAGATCCGACATGGGTGCATTTGCGCAGTCCCATCGCCAGCAACATGACACGATATTCAAGCTCGAGAGAACAAATGCAGAGCTTCGTGGCGAAAGCTGTGGCATATACGCCAACTGTGCCCGCTGGGAACTCTCCCGCCGAACATCCGATTCACACGCCCCCTGGGCTTGATGCACTCGGTGGGGGGCCTCCAGGTGGAGGTGGAGACGACTCGCCTCCCGAAAGCGATGGCGATGAGGACGACGACGATTCCCGTAAGAAGAAAAAAAGAAAGACAAGAATAATAAAAAGAAAAGAGACTCATCTGATTCTTCTTCATCTTCATCTTCATCCATCAATCTGTCCAAGAAGGATCTCCTGAACATGCTTAAGAAAGTCACCAAGTCCAAGAAAGACAAGGATGACGAAGCTGAGTCCGAAACCCCGTGGTAGGTCCAAGGTCAAGGAAGCCGAAAAGATTGTGTTTCCCAAGTTTCCTCAGCCTGAGAATTACAGGAACTGGAGCTTCGGACCGTCCTGATGAGGCATTTGAGTGGCTCGGCGAAGTCTGGAAGGAAGGGACTGCCGAGGAATCCCTCCGTGACCCTAGCGGGTTCACCACCCTTGATGTTAAGATCCTCTCCGCAATCACGAACATTCTGGAAGGTGATTTTTGCTCGCCAGATCGACGCTTTCAAGGAGAGAGAAGGTCATGAGGGACGTCTTGTGAGGGGTCGTCAGATTCTTCACAAGCTCAATGCCTATCTATCTACCAACGTGCTTCATGGATCCGTTTACGACATGGAAGATTTGCTGAATGTTGTCATGTTGAATGAGAACCTAGTTCAGTTCGTACGTAACTGGGACACTGTGCTCTCAGGCATGAAGAAGGCTCCAGCTGATGACGTGCTTCAGCCGTTATTCCGAAGGCAAGTCAAGAAAGCTAAGTTGTTAGCCCACGACATCGCAATTTGCCGCAGGTATGCCAAGTGCCCCCGCACCGCTGAAGCGGGTGCCCAAAGGTTTCTGCGTCGACTTTGTTCGCAACGGTTCGTGTACCAGAGACAAATGTACCTACAAACATCAGATTCCTGAGAAGCCACGTGGTAGGTCGCAGAGTGGAGGCAAAGGCAAAGGCCGTGGCAAATCGCCCTCCGGAATCCGGGTCGCATTAACGTTGATTGCAAGTTTTTTCAAGCACGGCAAACGCAACAAGGGCGACAAGTGCCGTTTCATTCACAAGAGCCAACCCTCTGCTCCGGCCACTGGGAGCGGCAGAGAGTCAAGCGGTGAAAAGAAGAGCAAAAAGCAGAAAAAGGAGAAGAAGCATAGGAAGAAGTCCCGATCCAGCTCCAAAAGTTCTAAGAGCAGTGGTGGTTCCAAAGGAAGCAAAGGCTCTGGGAACAGCAAGGGCTCGGGCGGACGGAAGCCGAAAGCTTCGCTTCCAGCAGCTGTTTGCCTCTTAGGCGCACTAGTCGCAGTTCGGCACCCCAAGCCAAGGCTTGCGCCTTCCGGAAGGAAGTGCCGTTCCTTAACGACTCGTGTGCAAGCACCGCGCACCTTGCTTTGGCGTGTGTGCGGTTTTCCAACTCCATAGGGGATTCCAATTGGCGTGAGGTTGACATTCAGCCTCGTGTATTTGACAAAGAATACCCCATCAACTACAAGCCGAAATCGGATGGGCAGGACATTCGTGACGCGCTGGCTACAGCCAAGATGCTAAGATCAACCATTGACAGCATGAACCAGGGAGCTGCCCCTGCATGTAAGTTTCGCTGTAAGACCGAATTTGGTTGCAGTCATTGTATTGCACCGGGGTTAACCGTAGGGTGTCCCGCGAGCGGTAGCAAGAACGATCCTGTGATTGAGATGGAATGGATCGCCGACACCGGGAGCGCACAGGACCTTATTTCGGCTAGCGTACTTGGTGATGTGAAGGAGTATCGTTCTGAGAAGCCTATCAATATGATCACGGCTAACGGTTCCAGCTACGCTGACAAGCAATGCCGGTTAGGGTTCCTTCCATCAACACAAGTGCTGAGCCATACGTGCTACCCGATTCTCCCTCCGTGCTATCGGTAGGTCAGAAGTGCATGGAAGAAGGTTTTGACTTCATCTGGAGGGCCAACTGCAGACCATACTTCAAGGATCACAATGGGAACAAGGTGTTCATGGACAACGTTCCCTACCTGAAGTCATGGAAAGAAAACGTTGCGCTCCCAGGCAGAGCCTACGCTTCCTGCTCCGCCGGCTGAAAGGCCTGGCAAGGGTGTTGAAGAGTCTGAGAAAATTGCCAGACAACTACTTGAGAATCTCGATTTTCGGTGCAAGTCGTGTCTTAAGCTGCTGCGATCGAAAAGAGCAACAGGAAATCCGTGACCAAGAGTGGTTCGCACACCGACGGGAACGTCGAGTACATAGTACATGGAGCGTTCGCGCACGGAGGTGTACAAGGCACAACAAATGTACGAAACAATATGCCGAGACCACGAAGTACCTGAACGCTTCTATGCGAAACCATGGCATGGTGGGCGACTGCTCGTCAATATGCATTAACCATGGATCATCGGTCAAGGTGCACAAGGACGCACACAACATGCGAGAAGCGGGAACCACACGATCAGCCTTGGAGACTTCGAGGGCGGTGAGCTTTGGATCCATGATCCCGCTGCCCGGAAGGGTGAGCCCAACGTTGAGGCTCGCAAGGTTGGTTTGAAAACTTTGTACGGGAAGAAACATGCTACCCGTAACAAGCTCGTGAGGTTCAACCCAAAGAGTCATCACAGCGTCGTTCCCTGGAAGGGGGACCGGTGGAGCCTTACTGCGTACGTCAACAGAGCCGTCCCAAAGCTTCAGAGTGAGGAGATTTCTAAGCTTCGGAGTTACGGGTTCATCATCTCTAAGCGTGCGGCTATCCCTGCTCCTGTCCCTGATCCGGAGGATGAGCGTGTTCTTGAGGATCTCGTAGTTCGAAGTCCGGCTACTAGGTCAAGCGAACCTAGGACAAAGCCTAAGGTTAAGATCAGGGATCCTGATAAAAAGAATGAAAAGAAGTCAAAGTCCGACAAGCCCAAAGCAAGCTCCACTGAAGCTGCTGAAGCCGCAGAAGACTTCGACAAGATTCTAGAAGAACTCGAGAAGTCGGGCGCGGAACAGATACCGCAAACGCGGGCGCCGTCAGCAGATCAGGCCGCCGAAGCCGATGACAATGAGCATGTTCTTCGTATGATCGAGGAATTTGGGTCGGATGTCGAAAGAGAGGAGCCGCCCAAACCGGATCCGACACGACCCCCTAGCGGGGAGTCGAAGATCCCAGATGGGGAGGGTAGCTCCGATCCCAAAGTCCTAAGCGGCAGAGCAAAGCTCAAGGAGGATGACTCATCTCCCTAAGAATCCCTATTGCTCGGTATGCAATCAGGCCAAGATGTACAAGACCCCAGGCTACAAAACCGAGGGCTTTCGATCCGTCGAGGCCACCAGCTTCGGTGACCATGTCACTGCCGACCATGTGGTGATCTACAGGGATAATTATCAATTATCAGATCATTGAAGAGGCTAGGTTAGCTCTCGTGATCAAAGATGTTGCCACTGCTTTCATGTATGCGTATCCTTCAGCCCTTAAGGACGAAATGGAGTGCAAAGCTGCGCTTCAACACTTTGTGTCGAGCAAGGATAAGGTTGGTGTGTTCTACAGCGATAATGCCAAAGAGCTCGTTAGGAGCGCGTTGTCTCTTGGGTGGAGGCACGAAAAGAGTAAAAAGTACATCCACCAATCCAACTCGCTGGTCTTGCAGGGCAGTCAGAGCAACCTCTGAAGGAACGAGGTGCAACTTGTTGCAAGCTGGGCCGTCCCATGTATACTGGCCACGGCTCTTGAGCATGCGTGTACTGCACTCAACATTTCCCATAGTAATGGGATTGAGTATTGGCCTTGGTACCTCAGATTCGGTACGGCCTTTCCTGGCAAAGTTTTGCCCTTTGGTTGTCGCGTCGACCACTGGGTTGGTCCCAAGTCTCAAAGGAAGGATCGCCCTAGATTCGAACCAACTTCTGAGCCTGGTGTATTCCTGGGATTTTACTTTCAGCCCGGTATGAAATGGAAGAAGGAGGTTTTCGTGTTGTCTATTAAGGACTTGAATCGCAATGACTTCCATGAGTGTTTGAAGCCCATCGTTGCCAGTCAATTTAGTGTTCCTGAAGGATATTTCGTATTTCCTACGAAAGAACGCTATGAGAAGGTTCGATTGGGTCACGCATCAGATGTTCTTGAAGGTCCTGACACCACTCCTTTAGAAAACTAAGATGCCGAGATGGCTGACGATCAGAAGAAGGAAGTCGACGACGCCGACCGGAAGGTGGAGCGACCCAGTGTCATTGACCCTGTTAGTGGCAAAATGGTTCCTCTTCCAGAGGGTGACCGATACTACGACTCCGGGGGGACGTTAGGGAGAAGATACGGGGGGACTAGAGGTTCTACCAAGCCTGATGATATTCCCTCTCATCTGTGGGTCAACATGTCAAAGAGTCAGAAGAAAAGGGCCATTGATGACGCCAACATGCGTGCCGCACTCAAAGAAAGCGGCGAAAGCGACGGTCGAGGTTCAAGCACTGATCGGCCCGCTAGCGCGGCGTCCCGGATGCAAGATGTATGGGGTATTTGTGGTGATACGCTCATTCGGTATCATTTCAAGCCAAGATATGAATTGAGCTCACCAGATCTCACTCATTTGAGCTGAGTAGGATTGCCAGTTCCCGTTACACCAAGATCATTCCGTATGGTGGTGAAAGCATCATGGATGATGAAGATGATTGGCGTAACGTGCGAAGGAGGAACAAGAAACTTCGCTTTAAGTGGATTGGTCAAACTGTGTTCAACATCAAACCTGCTCATGCTCCCACTCTTAACGGAGATGGTACGTTTCCTGCTATGCCCGTAGCTCCCGACATTGTGTCCGAACACGGGGAGAAGCTTGCTAATTCAACACCAGCCTCCAACGAAGAGATCATGGATCTTATGGCCATGGTCGCCCGACCAGTGGGCAAGAAGGAGCTGCTGCAAAACCCTAAGGCTCAGACTTCGCTTGACGTCGAGTGGGATAAAGTAAATTAATGAAGACGCAGGTGTGGGACATGGACTCAGTCCAGGAGTGGGATGCAGTCTCTATAACAAACATTTCGCTCAGGAGTGTGTTGCCCTATAATCCTGTAGTTGAGCTGTTTGCCACATGATTTTGTATAGCATGGAACAAATGTTCCACTGTGGTGTTTAGGCTCAAGGGACGCACCCAAGACAGCCGTGCGCCCGAGGAAGAGTGAAGTGCGAATATCTGTGTAAAGTGAAAGGGTCCGGAACGTACCTGTAAAGCGTTTTATGGTAGCGGAGCTGAAGGCCAGGACCTTCGGCTGAAGAAGAGCCCAATACAAGGAGAAAAGAGCCTTGGGCCCCAGTGTCACGAGAAGTGAAGAACAGAAAAGTTGAATGGCCACGCCAAGTCCAGCTGGAGACGCGGATTTGCCTGTATCCCCTGGACACGGTGGCCAAGGAGGAGACACACCAAGTGATACGCCAATGGCGATGCCTGCACCAGAAGGAGTTGCAGGAGGATCCCTTCAGGCCCTGATAGGGAACCTGTCGGCAGCAGCGCAAGCTTTGGCTAGTGCTGCAGGTACAGGAAGTACAAGGAGTTACGACTCTGCAGCTAAGCTGGTGAAGAGTCCGGATGTGTTCGCTCCAAAGAGTTTGGAGGAGGAAGTTTCACAGTGGCCCGATTGGAGTTTCAGCTTCAAAGTGTTTGTGGGCTTCATTGACCCCACCTATGCAGAAGAGTTGAAGAAAGTGGAGCTGGCACCACCAAAGCCAGCAGAGTATACAGTTGGTGAAAGAGAAAGAAGTACAAAGCTGTATGCGATCTTGGCCTCGTATCTTCGGAACAGGCCATTGAAGTTATTGAAGTCAGAAGGAAGTCCAGATGGATATTCTGTATGGAGGAGACTGTTTGAAGAGTTGGAGCCGTCAAGCCGGACAAGAGGGCTGGCAATGGCTCAAGCTCTAGTGAGCTTTTCCCAGATGACGAAGGGGACTTCTATCTTAGACTATCTGCTTACCTACGAAAAACTGGTTGCGGAATACGAAAAACTGTCCGAAGGAAAACCCTACGATGAGAATTTGAAAATCGGAACAGTACTCAAAGGTTTGCCAAATGAGTTGAGGAAGCATATTCTGATAGGATTGACCCCTACGACGAAGTACGCAGACATCAGGAAGAAGTTGCTTGAGTATGAAAGAAGTACCCAATCGTGGAATGCGGAGAACATTTTGCAGTCTTTCAACATGGAAAGCGCAACGAAGAATACACCCTACAATGGGCCACAACCAGTGGACATTGATCGAGTGAAAGGAAAAGGAAAGGACAAAGGAAAAGGATACGACAACAAAGGAAAAGGAGGAAAAGGAAAAGGATACGACAACAAAGGAAAAGGAGGAAAAGGAAAAGGGTACAACAACAAAGGAAAAGGAAAAGGAAAAGGATACGACAACAAAGGAAAAGGAAAAGGTGGTTATAGAAATGCGCGAGTAGTGGACGCTGGTGGCTACGGGAAAGGGAAGTTCACAGGAGAGTGCCACATATGCGGAAAGATAGGACACAAAGTGTCTGAGTGCTGGCAGAACCAAGGAAAAGGAAAAGGAGGCAAAGGCAAAGTCAGACAGGTAGAAGAGGAAGGAACCCATCAAGGAGATCACGAGAAGAGTTCCTCTAGCAACGCCCCTGCTACAAAGAATGAGACTGGTCAAGTTAGACAGATCACAGCAGAAGCGGCGCGACAAGCAAGACGAGTAGAGATGACAGAAGATGAGGATGAAGAGCTCAACTTTGTGAGATTGTGTCAGGAGTTTGAAGAGCTAGTGGAAGGAGAATTGAGAAGAGTTGAGGAGTTTGATATCTCTTCGAATGATGAGGAAGAAGAAAGTGAGGAGGAACCAACAGATGGTTTGATGGAGTGGTACCAAGGGTGGTGGTTCTTGGAAACGGAGATTGAAAGAAGTTTGAGAATGATCTCTCAGGAGAATGAAGTTCAGAGAGCAACAAGAGAAGTGGATGCATGTGAGGTAGTGCTCGACAGTGGAGCTGACTGCCATGTGTTGCCTATGGACTGGGCAGAAGAAGTAGGAGAAGCTTCTACTTTTGAGTATCATCTTAAAGATGCGCAAGGGAAAGTGATCCCAACACTGCCTGTGAGGCAGAACGTGACGTTTGTTTTCACAAAGGAGTCTGGAAAGAAGTTGAAGATCACCGACAGTGCTGTTTGCGGCAATGTCACCCAACCTTTGTTTGCGGTAGGAAAGATGTGGAAGTTAGGTTGGGGTACGGTGAACGAGGATGGAAAGTTGTGGTTGAGAAAAGGAAGTGTTCGTATACCGATATACTTCAAGAGGAATTCCTCGATGGCGAGGATGTGCATCAGAAGACTTGAAGAAGAGGAAATGAAAGTGCAGCCGGTGAGGCTGGAAAGAGAATTGAAAAACGAGCTGAAGAGCAAAGAAGATGAAGATGGATGGTTTGTGCTGAATGATGGCACACCTGCAAGGTTTGATTGGTACATGGGGAAGACGTTTGACCCAACAGGTCAGTTCCCCAACAGGCTCTACGAAGGAGAAGGAGATGAAGGAGATTATTTTCCTTATCGAACAACCTTGCTAGGAAAGCTGAAAAGAAGTGGAGAAAGAGTGTTGAATGAAGTGGGTTGGAAGAGTATGGATTTCTTTGAGTGTACGGAGATCTGGAAGGATCGCGAAAGAGTTCAGCTTGGGGCTAGTCCTCAAGACAGGTTTGAGGTGATGGTCACCTTGTTGGAAAAAGGGATGAAGGAACCGAGTGACTATGGGTTGCTCACGAATTTGGAAGAGTTAGAGAGAGAGCTGGCACAAGAAGGAGTGCCGATGGAGGTCACGGGAACCTCCACGAGTTCGAAAGAGAAGGAAGGAAGCGAACGAGAGGAACCGAAGAGAGGAGTTCCAGTGATTGGCGAAGATGAGGAAGATGTGATGGTGATTGGACCAATGAAGTTGACACGCCAGAGTGAGTTGAAGGAGATGAAAGCGGCGTGCAAGTATCTGCATATCTCCAAGAATGGATCGAAGGAGATTTTGTGGAAAAGATTAAAGAAAGAGGTTGCGTTGAGCAAAGTGAAAGCGCAAGCCCAAATCTCTGAAGACATTAGAAAGGAGTTTGAGAGAGAGCCAATTCCAGAGGCTCTGCCGGCTCTGCCGAGCCCGGAAGAGATTGAAGCGCATGAGCTGACGCATTTGCCAAGAGCGCCCTGGTGTGAAGCATGCCAGGCAGCAAAGAGTAGAGAAGATGACTTCGAAGAAACAAAAGAGAAGGCGCAACGGCCCGTGTTTAGCTTGGACTTTATGTTCACAGGAACACAAGGAGATGAAAAGGAAGGAGATCCGCTTGCTATTCAGCTTGCTGGAGTTGACAACGACACGAAATTCCTGATAGCTATTGCGGTGCCAACGAAAGGAGGAGATGCGGTGATAAACCACGCAGTGAGTGAAGTGGTAAGAGTGTTAGCCCTTTTGGGTTACGCGGAAGTAGTTCTTAGAACCGACACCGAGCCAGTGATGATTGCGATCAGAAGAGGAGTTCAAGTGGCAAGAACGAAACAAGGTTTGAAGACGGAGTTACAAGATGCCACACCTGATGAGCATCAAGGGTTGCCTGTGGAAAGGTATATCCAAACTGAGGAACCTTGCAAAGACGTTACTGGCGACGGTAGTAGAACAAAGAAGTGGAACGGCCATCGGATCTGATGTCCCGCTTTATAGCTAGGCGTACAGACATGCAGCATGGCTGCATAACAGGTTTCATGTGGGAAGAGATGGTCGAACGGCGTTTGAAGCAACGGTGGACAGAACGTACAAAGGAAATCAGGCCCCTTTCGGGTCAGCCGTATTTGGAAAGGCAGTGCCAAAGACGAAGGAGAAAGGAGAACCTTGGGAAAAGGGAGTCTTTCTAGGAAAGGACTATGCGAGCAATTTGAACCTGATCGGAACAGGTCGAGGAGTGATTAAAGCGAGAACAATGAGAAGATGTGCTGAAGCATATCAGCCTGAGCTTTTGCAACTTTCTGTTGGAGCTCCCTGGGACCATCAGCTGAAGGCTTTGTGGTTTAAGAAGAAGAGAATTGTGCCTATTGATGATGGGCCAGGATTTCCAAGGTTAGCAGCTAAGGAAGACAAAGGAGTAGAAGAAGAAAAAGGTAGCGAACCTTCGCCGCCGAGCGAACGCCAAGGAAGTTCGAGTTCTTCGAGTAAGAGTTCGTCGTTGTCGGGAGCAACGCCCGAAGGAGAACCAATGGACGACGAAAGCGATGATGATGACGACGATCCAGGAGAAGTGAGAACTAAGAGAAAAGCGGAAGATGAATTGGTGCCCGATGAGATGACGCTAGAAGAGTTTCAAAGAGAGGTTGCAAAAAGAAATGCAGAAGAGGAAGGAGAAGGGTCACCAAAGAAAGGACCAAGAGTAGACGAAGGAACTGGAGAGGTAGAAGAAAGAGTTGAAAAAGTGCCAAGACTTGGAGATGAGGCACGAGGAAGTGCGGCGCGAGTTGAATACCACATTCGGAGATTCGCCAAGAGCGAGGATCCCGAAGAGCATGGAGATGAGTATGTGGATCTCGACGAGACACAGCTGTTTCTTGAAGAAAGTCGAGAGTTCCAGAGCAAGTGGAACGAGAAAGTGTGTGAGACAGAAGAGGACCTAACGGTTACTTGGTCTCACGAGTATGATGATGGGCCACCAAAGTTGGAAGCTGAAGATCTGGAGAAGGTGGACCTGAAAGCGGAGAAAACAGAAATCGAGAGACTGTTGGAGATGAAAGTTCTCAAAGAAGTGGAGCTGGATGAGAATGGAGAGGTGAAGAAAGGACCGAATGGAGAAGAGCCAAAGAGACTCAGTACAAAGTACGTGTTGGATTGGAGGCATAGGGACCTCCAATGGAAGAGGCGTGCCCGCCTAGTGGCGCGGGAATACAAGTGGCTGACCGACTACGATCTATCGGCGTTATACTCACCAACGAGCATTGGTTCGAGCATCAAGCTGCTGTCAGCTTTGTGTGCGAGTTCAAGAGACTACGAGATGATCTCGATAGACATTTCTGACGCGTACCTTCAGGTGCCACAGAAGGAGTACACGGTTGTGAGTTTAGGAGGAAAGTGGTACCAACTGCAGTACACCTTGCCGGGACAACGAACAGGAAGCAGTGACTGGTTTGAGCATCTACGTGAAATCCTGGAGAAAGAGAAGATGGTTTCCGATGTGGGATTACCAAGTTTCTTCTAAAAGTTTTCGGAGACACCAGGAGAAGGTGGAACGCTTATGAGCACCCATGTGGATGATTTTCAAGTGTTTGGAAAACCAAAAGAGAATCAAGCAGTAGTGGATCTGCTGCTGAAGCACAAGCTGAAGATAAAGCTGGAAGGTCCAGTGAAGGTTGGAGAAGGAAAGTGTACTTTCTTGAAAAAGACGTTCTTAGGAACGAAAGAAGGAATTGAGATCAGGATGGACGGCAAGTATCTTGAGAAGTTGGAAGAGATTTTAGGTTTGGGAAAAGCCCTGCCAAAGAAGTTGCCGTTTCCAATGGATTACGGAAGATCGTTGAAGGACGACACGCCCTTGGATGCAGATGAACATCATCTGTACAGATCCTGTGTAGGAATCCTATTGTATATGACACCGGAGAGACCTGATTTGGGATTCGCTACGAAGTGGTTGTCAGGGAAGTTGGCAGCGCCAACGCGAGGAGACTTAGCAGTGCTTAGGCACGTGGCAAAGTACGTGAAAGCGACAGCCCACTACGTGATAGAACACAAAGAGGCATATCCTGGAAAGAGTTTTCTGGATCCAAGTGATAAGAGAACTGAGAATGCCTACAAAGATGTTTTAACGGCAAAGAGTTTGATCGAGGTAGTGACCGACGCCGACTGGGCGACCGATCGTGAGAATAGGCAGTCAACGAGCTGCGTATTGATTTTCGTGAACAGTAACATCGTTTACTTTCACGCGAGAAAGCAAAAAGCGACGGCTTTGAGCAGCTGCGAAAGCGAACTGGTGGCAGCTGTTGGAGGTTTGAGTGAAGGAGTTTTTCTACAGAACCTGTTGCACAGAGTTCTGGGGATTAGGCCGGATATGGTGATTCGGATGGATTCTAGCAGTGCTAGGTCTATTCTTCTGAAGAAAGGTTTAGGAAGAACGAGGCACATTGATGCTGGACTGCTTTGGGTTCAAAGGCTTACTTCTGTAGGTCTTCAAGTGAAAGCGATAGCTGGAAAGGAGAACCCTGCAGATGTAGGGACAAAAGCTTTGTCACGGAACGCTGTTGTGAAGTGTTTGGAGAGACTCGGTGTGAAAACTGGAGAAGAGAGTGAAGAGATCAGGATAGCAAGTGACTTCAAGATCCCTACGAAGTATCTGAGAAGACTGGTGATGATGATGATGGTTCAGCAGTGTGATGGATTGAGAGAACAAAGCAGTAGAAGCAGTGAAGGTGGAAGCTTTGGTTTGGTGATGATGGTGATGATGATGACAATGGTTGTTGTCATGCTTTGCAACGGTAGCCTGTGGAAGAGTTGGGTTGAAAGTGCTGAATGCATGTTTTATTCCGCCGCTGCCGTTTTCAACTCAAGGAAGGAAGTGAGAAGAAAAGAAGTGAGGAAAGAGGAAGTGAAGAAAGAAGAAGTGAAAGAAAAAGGAGAATTAAAAGAGAAAAGAGGGAAGAAGAAAAAGATGGCAGACGACGAAGCCCTCAAGACAATGATCAGAGATGAATGCCGGAGTATAGAGGCAGTCACCCTCTGGGAAAGAGAGCTAAAAAGGGATCGCGAGCGGAGGTTAACCCTCGAAGCTCTGTGGCCCGAGGTGCAACGCCTCGACCAGCAGTTTGCGCCCAAAGCGCAAGCCCCGCCAGAAGCTACAACGGCGGAGGTTAAAGTGCCTGAGGAGTTCAAGAAGACAGCCGAAGAATTGGCTGCAGAGTTATGGAAGAAAGAATAAATGAGCTGAAACAAAAGGCTGTAGATGCTGCCGAGAGGCGAAAGGGCCAGAAAGAAAGAGCAGATGATACTGCGGACAAAGCAGAGGAAACAAAAGAGGAGGAAGAGAAAAAGAAAGGGAAAGAAGAAGAGGAACAGGAAGCCTCTGAGAGCGAGGACAAAGAGAGCTCGGAGAAAGAAGAGGAAGAAAGCTCCGACAAGGAGAAAGAGAAAGAGAAAGGCGAGAAGAGAAAGAAAAAGGACTCTGAGTCAAGTGACGATGAGTACAAGGAGATTATGAATAAGATGGCAAAGAAGTCAGTACTGGATGAAGAGAAGAAAGTGCAGGACCTGCTTGCACAAATGAGGGTTCTGCAGGAGAAAGTGGATGAAAAGAGAAAGAAATTCACCATTTATGGTGATCTGTATACGTTCAAGCAGAAGCAAAAGAAGCTGAAAGAAGATGAAAGAGAAAGGCTCATTGCAAAAGAGATTGAAGTTCAAGAAGAGTTAAAACGAGTGGCTGACGAAGCCTTCGTGGCTAAGGAAGCCATAGAGAAGCAACTCGACAAGTTGCGAAAAGAAGAGGAACAACAAGAAATGGAGGCCACCCTCATCATGGATGAGGAAGCAGAACTGATGAAAGAGATGGACCGGCTCCGCCCTAAGCTCCATGCTGCCCTCGAAGAGTTGAAGAGTAAAAGAAAGGAGCTGAAAGTGCCAGAGGTATGATTGCTTTTGAGTGAAAGCGATCAGAGGATGATCGAAGAAATGGAGAAAAAGAAAGCGAAAGAGATCAAGGAGATCATAGAGGCAAAAGAGAAAGAGATGAAAGAGGAGTTGGAGAAAAAGGAAAAGGAGATCACGGATCTCAAAGAAGCAAAAGAAAAGGAGATTGGAGAATTGAATGAAGAGCTGCGCAAAGCGAAAAAGAGAAAAAGCAGTGCAGGAGCAGCGCCAGCCCAGCCAAGCGAAGAGGTAGAGAAGCTGAAAGAGGAACGCAAAAAGATGAAGGAAACTATCAAAGAGCTAGGCAAGAACAACAAAGTGCTGGAGGATGAGCTGCAAGCTGCAAAAGAAGAAGTGAAGTTGGAAGAAGACCCTGATGCCTCAACGCAGGCACAGGTATGTGCAGTATGTTCGCGTTTCGGACATGGTTCCGAAACGTGCTGGGATGCGGACTACAACTATACTGCCTCAGGGCAGTATGCTCCAAAGATGCAACGAGAAGAGATGAGCAAGGAGCAGTTCCAGTCCTGGTACAAGAGCAATGAGTTGATAATCCGAAGGGCATACGCCAACAGGTTGGAGACGAATAAGAAGAAATACCGCACTGACAATGCGGAAAAGGGCAAAGGCAAAAAGGCCCAGCAAAAGAGCAGCTAAAAGAGAAAAGGAGAAAAAGAAGAGAGAGGAAGACCAACCGGAGGTCGATAAAGAAAAAGGGAATCTGAAGGCTGTAAGGCCGAGAGGGGGAACTTCGTTCCCAAACGAGGAAAGAGTTTTCTGAAAGCTGTACGACAGCTGCACCACGAGAAGCCGAAGAGTTTCTCTACGAGGAGAGTTTAAAGAGTTTGAAGAGTTTTGTGGCTTTGGCCACCACGAGTTCTTTTGAGGCTGAAAAGCCAAAGAAGTGAACGAGTTTGAGAGCGGCCAGTAGGAGTAGCTCTGTTTCACTCGTCTCACACCACGACAAAAAGCAGTGCACAACGAGTGTTTCAAAAAGAGGAGTGAGCGACTGTTTTGGGTTCGTAGCACCTCTAGAAAGGGAAAAAGGCAAAAGAGGATGCACGAAGAGGGGGTAACAAACATTTCGCTCAGGAGTGTGTTGCCCTATAATCCTGTAGTTGAGCTGTTTGCCACATGATTTTGTATAGCATGGAACAAATGTTCCACTGTGGTGTTTAGGCTCAAGGGACGCACCCAAGACAGCCGTGCGCCCGAGGAAAAGTGAAGTGCGAATATCTGTGTAAAGTGAAAGGGTCCGGAACGTACCCGTAAAGCGTTTTACTCTAGCAGAGCTCAGAAAAGTGGGCGTAAGGTGCACGTTGGCAAGATTTTCGAGGTCTGCGTTGAGAAGGGAAGCGAACTCCCAGAAGGAGACCCTCTCCGGAAATTCAAAGGGAGGACTGTTTTCCAAGGGAACAACGTTAAGGACTAGAGTAACGACACCGCATTATTCAGCGAGTTGGGTTCTAGTCCTGCTACCATGGAAGCTGGCAAAACTCTTGATGCTTACGGGCACATGCCCGGGAACGTTTGTGAACAGGCTGATGGAAAACAAGCCTACACCAAGCTTAAGTTAGATTGCCTAAGGAACGCTGGCCGAAAGGGTGGCATGGTAAATACAAGGATCCTGTTGTCAAACTTGTTCTGGCATCGTATGGCCACCCTGATAGCGGAGGCTTCTGGGAGCAACACTGTGAAAAGATGTTAAAGAGGTCGGGTTTCACCTCATCTTTCCTGCTGCATGGCCTTCGGTGTTTTACCGTCCAGATCTCAAGCTTCTGCTTGCGGTTTATGTTGACGATTTCAAAACGGCAGGACCGAAACAGAATATGGCTAAGGGTTGGGAGCTTATAGCCTTTAAGATCGACATGGATACGCCTTCCAGGCTAGGACGGTATCTGGGCTGTGAACATGTGTCCGCCAAGCCTGCCACAGCCGCTGCCACGCAGGACTACACTGAATTCTTTCCGGAGGAAGGTGTCGTTGCGAGGCATCATGTACAACCCCGCAAATCGTTGTATCATCTTAAGTCTGAAGAAGCTGAGGCGATGAACCTTGGCAACACTCGACTCACGGAAGTGAGGTCTCTTTCCTTCCCAGTTGAGGAGGTTTGCGACGAACATGGTCAATCTAGAAGGCGGGGGCAACTCTGGATAGGAAGTATTTATCTTATGTCCAATGAACATTCCCGCGCATCTGCACTTGCTGCTGTCAAGAAAGTGCGGGACAAGACGAAAGCCAAGAAAGCTGCTAGAGAGCAAGCCTTTTATGACGTTAATCAGCTTGACGAGGGCAAAGGTTGCATGACTGCCCCTACGAAGCAAGTCACATATGATATGAGTTCGTTCGTGCAACAAGCAATAGACCGCTACAAAAAGCTAGCGGGGCCTGAATTCCGCAATCTCAACAAGGCCGCGACTCCGTTCTATGATGACAAGATTGCACGCCCGGTGGAAGCTGAGGCAGAAATCAAAGGCAAGCTCGCTCCCATTGCGAGCCGTGTTAAACTTTTGTTTGCAGCTCGAATGGCCCGTTTTGACTTGTTGAGAGCCGTCCAAGGACTTGTGAGTCGGGTTACCAAATGGTCCTCGGATTGCGACAAGGCGCTTCAACGTCTTATGTGCTATGTGCAAAGTACCCTTCACTACAAGATGTCTGGGTTTGTTGGCGATACCTTGGATAAATGCAATCTCTGGTTATTTGCTGATTCCGATCATGCCGGCGAGCATGACAACCGTAGCACTTCCGGGGGGTTCCTGGCTTTAGTTGGTCCCAACCCTTACTTTCCACTTCGCGCTTTCAGCAAGAAAATAAAAAGTACAGCGCTCAGTAGTACTGAGGCCGAGGTCGTTTGCCCCAACGCGTCGCTGCGTGCCTTAGGACTTCCTTCATCCGCACTTTGGAGTGTGCTCCTGAACGCGGGGGGAGATACCAAGCAGCAACACGCCTCTCTAAAGACAGGCAAAGCCATCGATGTCACAAAAATTCCTGACAATGAAGTTTCCAAGATCAAAACCACAGGGCATCATCACTAGCCTGACGGCAGGAAGCTTTCGGTCTATACGGGCGTTTCTCAGATACCCGAGCCCACTGATCTTACCAGTCACCCTTCAAGGGATGTTTGGATCCAAAACAAGGGTAAATGGACCAGGATTGAAGAAGCCGTCGCTTGGGAAGAATTGCACAACATGTCTTATTCAGTGCAAACTGATGTTCTTGTCTGCATTTATAGAAGATCTGCTATGGATTATCGTCGCGTCGCGGAAGCTGAGGCAGAAATGCGTAAGGAATTAGCCGGTATCAGGAATTCGGGGGGCGTTGACATTGAAGCTCTCGCACCGAAGTCTACCACCAAGGACATTGGACTTATCGCTCGTGTGCCGCATGCAATTGAGCCCATCGTCCTGGAAGACAACCAAGCAACTATCCGAATTCTGGAGTCCGGTAAGTCCCCTGCCTTCAGACACGCTGACAAAACACAGCGGATCAACTTAGGTTGGATTGCTGAGCAATTCCGTCGTAGGCATTACAAGATGATCTTACAAGCCGCTGACATCCTGACCAAACCGTTTACAAATCTTGACAAATGGTCTAGGGCTCTTGAGCTTATGCGCATTGGACCTGACAAAGTGAAGTCCAGCAAAGCTGCTGCTGCATCACAGCCGCCGGCGGGCGTGCTCAAGAGGCCCGAAGCTAAAGACCAGATGATGTTGATTGTGGAGGTTGCATTGGATGGCGTTTCTTTCATGAAGTCGGCGGATAAATCTAAGCACCCTTCGAATAGCTGGGTCACCTTATGTGGTTCTATGTTAAACATTTCCCCTTCACAGTACGCCTGCAGGTACAGTAGTGTAAATGTAAAGGAACGACCGTTCACAGGCTCGAGACCCACCGGACACAGCGACCGCAATAGGAAAAGTGTCCGACAGCTTTGCAGTTTAGGAACCGTAGTGAAGCCCGTTCTTTAACATGGTAGCGGAGCTGCCTCCAGGAACCTCCTTGGCAGCGATGATGCTACTACTAGCAGTGACCATGGCCGCCCTCGTGCTTTGCGCAGCTCGTGCCCTGTGGACTCTATGGACACAGGAAGAAGTCGTGGAGCAGGTCCAAGGTATCAACCACTTGCCGGAGCTGATGATCGCCCCGAAGAGAGGAACGAAGTATCATAGACGAACATGTGCGCACATTACAGCAAACAGTGACACCAGAGCATATGGACCGTGTGGCTTGTGCTACCCGGAGAAGTACTTGACAAAGGAGATCAAGGTCAGAAAAGGAACATGTCGCTTTACGGCAGCGTCCATGACTCTGCTGTGTCGAGCAGTTCTGGGAAGCCTCGCAGCTTTCTGCGGGATGATGATGATCCCAGGAACAAGTGAACAGCGACAGGCCCTCGGCGAGAACGTCAACAAAGCAGCTGAGGAGGAACTTGCCCTTGGAGAAGTTCGAGCCTTCAAGGAAGTGACCAGACAAGCCAAGTGGAGACACAAGGAACAAGACGACGGTGACGAAACCGAGCTGATGGCAACTTGGGTGAGCAGGTCAAGAAAGCCCAATACGCACAGGAACCGCGACTACCGCGTGTACGGCGAGTACTACCAGAGGAACTACAACTTGTGCACCGTGACCGCCGACGAGACCAACGTGAACACGATCAGGAACAAGAACGCGTACACGATCAAGGACTACGTGGAGATTGGCAAAGTGATGTTGCCATACGCAATGCTGACCGTGAACCATGTGTGGAACGAGTTTAGCACCACGTTTGGCGTGAACGGCGAGTACTACCAGGAAGCGAACAGGAACGGCACCCAGAACACCGAGAACCAGGAGAGTGAGAGCCTTGAGCCCGGCTACGCTCCTAGCTACCTAGTAAAACAACAAGGAAAAGTACTGAGAGAGCTTGTACAGGAACATGTTCAAATTTTCGGAGAAGAGCTAGCAATCGTAGGAAAGAAGTTTCACGACGTCGTGCATGGTGTGATTTCCAACAGAGTTGTATTTCAAGGAATTCGCATAGCAGTGTTCTTAGGAACCCCAGTAGGACTGATTACTTGGATCATCCTCGCGTACTATTCTAGTGTGTTTTTCAGAAGAGCCACGAGAAGCAAGAAGGAAGGCAGGAAAACAAGAACAGAAAGGAGAGCACAAGCAGTGAGCAAAAGGCAGTGCAAGTCACTACTTTTAGCAGCGCTAGTGTACAGCAACCTGGAAACAGCAAAAGGAATGGAGGATGCATAGAAGAAGCTTGCAGAGATCAATGCACAGACTTTACAAGGAATACAAACACTAGCAGAGGAGATCAGGACCAGTGCAGCAGCAGGCAGCCAAAGAGAAGCAGGAATAGCACAGTCATTCCAGGAAACACTTGCAGCAGTACAGAAGCAAAACACAGAAGCACAGCAGGCACTAGCGAGTGCCCACAGCAACGCAGCAACAAACTTTGAGGAGATAGGAGCATCCCTGGAGAAGGCAGTGAAGGATCGAAAGCCTGGAGAAGTAGAACTACACAAGCTCATTAAATCACCTGAAGCTTTCAACCCAGGAAACTGGCAAGAGGAGAAGAGCGGCTGGACAGAGTTTCGAGCCAGGATGCGCGTCTGGCGTGGAGCAGTCGACAACTCCATGGTCAGGACCATGGACCTGGTGGAGCGTGATCTCAAGGACGACAAGGTAGTGAAGATGTCAGATATGGGAACTGAGGCAAAGGAAGCAAGTAGAAGGCTGTACAGTGTTTTGTGCTCATTCACGAAAGGAAGACCCTATCGTGTTGTAAAACATGTGACAGAGGAAAACGGTATGGAAGTGTACCGCATGTTGTTGAAGGAATATCAGCCAACAAACCGTGCAAGGTCGTTGGAACTGTTTCACAACATCCTCAACTACAAGTTTGCACATAACAAAGGAATAGCCGAGAACATCCTCGAATACGAGGAACGCATTGAGCAGTACGAGAAGGCGACTGGTGAAAAGGTACAAGAGAACTTGAAAGTGTCTACCTTAATCCAAGGAATGAAACCTGAAGTGAAGCGCCATCTGTTGCTCAACATCGATGAGTCTACTAAGTACACTAGTCTCAGTCAGTACTTAGTGAACTACGAGTCTACTGAGAGATGGACCAATTCCTTGTCCCAGAGCAGCCAAAGGACCACAACAGACCTGATTGAAAAAGGCGATGATCATGGAGGTCTTGCCATGATGGATGTAAGTCAAGCATGGTACAAAGGCAAAGGAAAATGGCATAAAGGTCTAGGTAAAGGCAAAGGCAAGGGTAAAGGACAAGGTAAAGGTGGAAAGGACTTCGGAAAAGGTTTCAGCTCTGAAGGCAAAGGTAAAGGCAAAGGTAAAGGCAAAGGAGGTTTTGGCAAAGGTCGAGGCAGAGGAAATTGGAAAGGTCGAGGTAGAGGCTTCAGAGGTTACAAAGGTAGAGGCAAAGGTCGAGGAAAAGGTTACCGCAGTTCTAAAGGTAAAGGAAAAGGTAAAGCCCAAGCAGCTACAGGAGTTTGTCACTACTGTCACAAGTATGGACACTTTGAAGCGCAATGTAGACAGAAGCAGCGTGACATGGGTTACCAAGCTAGGAACGTTGACCTTGAAAGCCAGAGTGAACAAGCTAGTACAACAGCAACCTCAACTCAAGCCCCTTCCTCAGGAACCGGGACCACAAGCCAAAACTCAGGAACACAAGGATCACAAAAGCCGGTGATTCGAATGGTCTCCGGAGGAATTTGACTTAAGTGAAGATTCAGAGGAAGTTGAGATTGAGTACTTCGGAAGAGTCTTGAGGGTTGTAGGAACAGTGTGTGAACCCCAAGCCACAGAAACAGGTGAGAACCCTGAACAGGTACAGGAACCCGAAGAGTTCTGGATTGGTGATGATGATGATGATGAGTATCAGGACCAAGGTGATGAACTGAGCATGTGGTATCACCATGATCGAGGATACGTCTTCGAATGTCCTAATGGCTGTTATATGGAGTGGCAACCCAGAATGCGAGAGTGTGAGTATGGATGCCATCTTCCACCTAGAAGGAACCCTATAGATAGGTTACCGCCAGCAAGAACAGAAGTAGAAGAAGAAACCCACTTTGTTCGAGCAGCGAGACAACAAGGAAATCGTGAGATTGAGGTCGTGTTGGACTCAGGAGCTGACATTTCGTTGGCACCAATGTGGATGAGGAACTTTGGTAGGAAAGCACCCAGCACAGCAAGAATCATCTTGCGCGATGCGCAAGGACGTCAGATTCGAGTTTCGGATCAGAGGATTATTGAGATAGAGTTCAAGGATACTCAAGGGAACATTGTGAAGGTCGAAGAGGTTTTCTTGATTTCTTCGGTTATGCACCCATTGCTTGCAGTAGGAAAGTTGTTGAAGAAAGGCTGGGAGTTCAGAGATGGAACAGCAACAGGAACATTTTTGACTGAAGGAACAACCAAGATCGCAGTGAACTACAACAACAACTCTCTTACCACTAGAGCGTTTGTTACAGCTGTGAACTACGAAGCCGAAGGAAAACCAATTCCCATTCATCTTTGTGAGAACCTCAGAGAACTCATTG